TTGATTATGGGGGACATCCGGTTTCCTATTCTGTCCCAAGGAGAATTCAAAACAGCCTATACCAAAGTAAGGACATTCATGACTTAAGTGTGCACTTTCTGGAGCAGAAGCTAGCATTCATTTTAAATAGAGCCCTAACTGTTTGAAACCAAGGGCATGTTGTGTTTGAAAACTATCCATGTATAATCCTTTTGCTTCCTACTGCAATCACTGGGACTTAAAAGTACTAAACATTGGCTGTCCCCCTGTTCCTGGTAAGCTCTCCAGGCAGGGTCTCACCTTGGTTGCTTTGCACAAAATAAATGCTAAATGGTAGTAGGCAATGGGATGTTAAAAGGAGTTCTCCAAGCATCAATAACATCCACAAAGGGAAATGTTCTTACACCTCCGTCACCTTGGGCAATGCTGTTGCCCTGACTTCTCAGGTCCCTTCTGCCAGCACCAAGTGCCCCCCCCCGCCCTCCTGTTGGGTCACAACCAATTCCTGGGGCTTATTTTATTCTGTCAGGCGCCTCCAGAATAAATATCCAAGCCAAACAAGGAACGATGTGGCTGTTGGGTTAGAAGGGGCCACCCGGATTAAACTGGAGCCTGCAAGCTCACTAAGCTTGTTTGTGGAGGTGGCTTCTGAAGCCAAGGTTTTCCAGTTCGCTCTGCACATCTTGCTTGCTGTAAGTCAATGCCACAATGTCCAGAGCAGCTTGCCCCCTGGGCAAGCTGTTTTAGGGGGGCACCACCGTTTAATGGTGCTGGAATTATGGTGCTGGAGGAGACTCTTGAGAGTCCCATGGACTGCAAGAAGATCAAACCTCTCCATTCTTAAGGAAATCAGCCCTGAGTGCTCACTGGAAGGACAGGTCCTGAAGCTGAGGCTCCAATACTTTGGCCACCTCATGAGAAGAGAAGACTCCCTGGAAAAGACCCTGATGTTGGGAGAGATTGAGGGCACAAGGAGAAGGGGACAACAGAGGACGAGATGGCTGGATAGTGTTCTTGAAGGTACCACCATGAGTTTGACCAAACTGCGGGAGGCAGTGGAAGACAGGAGTGCCTGGCGTGCTCTGATCCATAGGGTCACAAAGAGTCAGACACGACTAAACAACTAAACAACAACAACACCGTTTAATGGAGTTACTTGGCACCAGTAGAGGGCAAGGTGTTGTATCAAAGAATCATAGCTTTGGAAGGGACCCTGAGGATCATCTAGTTCAGAGCTTTACAAACTTTCCATGTTGGTGACACACTGTTTAGACATGCATCATTTCGCGACACAGTAATTCAGTTTTACTAGCAAACCAGAGGTTAGTTTAACCTCTGGTTTGCTAGTAAAACTGAATTATGTTCCAGCCCCGGGCGAAGCATGGGGAACATCCGTGCGACACACCTACACACTGCAGCCGACACACTAACGTGTCGCAACACAAGGTTTGGAAAGCTCTGATTTAATCCAACCCCCTGCAATCCTGGAATATACAGGTGCTCCTTACAGGAATCGAACCTGCAGCCTTGGTGTTATCAGCACCACACTCTAACTAACTGAGCTATCCTTTGTCACAGGCTGCAGTGCTGTGCATGTTTGCTTTAACTTAACGGGTCTCACTTCTGAGCAAACATGTATAGGATTGTGCTGACAGCCTCTGTTCCCGAGGAATGTAGAAATGAAAGACCTTGGAGAAAAAGGTGGTGACAGAAGATTTTAAAAGGCAGAGCATGACAGACAGAAAAAGTTGAGCCGAGGGTGAGGGCTTTGATTGCTGGCAGGGCTATATGTATTGATTCTGCGCTTTCATCACACAGATCTGATGTTGAACACAGAATTCAGTTCCCTAACAATCTTAGTGGTTCACCTTTAGGTATGTTTATTCTTGCCCAAACTTAGTGATGCAAGTAAGGCCCCCTCCAGACTCATGTTTTATTATGGGTGTATTCTGCAACATGGATGTATTCCGCAACAGTGCGTTGGTGGTGGATTTGTTCTGCTTCATTGTTGTTCTGCGATGCTTCTTCAATGCTACCATGCTACTGCTGTCCGGAGGGGCTACAGTGGGACTGAAAAACCTCAACCAAGAACATTTGTGACATGGAAAGTTATCAGATTTCAGCAGGATGTTACAGGATATACACTGGTTGAAAATGAAGCAGTATAAGCACCTGAAAACATCTGCAGGCACAAATAGTATTGAAAGCAGGATGCTTATGACCTCCCCAATGGCATAATGAACATGTGGAAGCGCCCTCGGTCTGCTTTTAAGGTTTCGTCAGCTGTTTTAGGTATGCTGAAAGTAGCCTGAAATCTGGTGTGCTGAAGGACGGTAGAAAAAAAATGATTTAAATCATCAAACGAAACAAAAAAGGTTATTGTGGGACATCCATCCCAGAACCCAGAGAAGAATGTGAGCAGGTTTTCTCGTCAGCATTCCATACAGACTATACCTTTATAGCACATTCAAAGTGCATTCTTTCCCTCAAAGAATTCTGGGCCCTGTATTTTGCCCCTCACAGAGTTCCAATTCCCAGCAACTGTAACAAACTACAGTGCCCAGAATTCTTTGAGGGATAGAATGTGCTGCGAATGTGCCTTTACGGTACAACGTGCACCCAGCCACTAGTGATAAAGCAGAATAAATGAGTAAACGACAGAAGCAGAATAAATGAGTAAATCTCAGTGGCTGGGAGCCTTCATTCCAGGTATCACATTACAATTGGTTTTGCATTTATCCTCCCCCACTTGAAAATGGGCAAAGGGGTCAAGCGGATGTTTGAACTGTGGACAGAGACTGTACAAACGTCCAAGTTTTGTTATGAGATTAGGATAAGGCTGTGCTCTGGGGAGATATCATATCACAGTGTTTTTTAAACCTTTTTCCTGGACGGTTTGAAAATGGGGCTCTTTCCGGGGGGAGTGTGTCTCCAGTTGGTTTGTCTTGAGGGCAAATAAGGGGTCATTGTTTCTCCCCGTCTAGGATATGCCTTCAGATATTGCTGGACTCCGCTCCCATCAACCCAGCCTGCAAGGGACAATGGGAATTGTAGTCCAACAAAATTTGGAGGGCCACAGGCTATCCATCCCAGCTCTGCATACCCTCCAACATTTCTCTGGTGAAAACAGGGATGTCCTATTCGATGAGAATAATAGTAATACACTTACCCATCTAATTGGGTTGCCCCAGCCAATCTGGGCGGCTTCCAACATACATAAAAACATAACAAAACACTAAACATTAAAAAACTTCCCTATACAGGGCTGCTTTGAGATGGCTCAGGAGTCGGGTAACTCCATACCCTCCAACATTTCTCTGATGAAAATAGGAGCATCCTAAGGAAAAGTGGGACATTCCAGGATCAAATCAGAAACTAGGATGGCTTCTGTAAAGAGTCTGTCTCTGGCGTTTTAACGCATTCACATGAAACCTGTTGAATTCTGCCTCTCTCAGAATTAAGGGCACTATTTTCTCAGCCTTACCTACCCCGCCGGGCTGTTGTGAGAATAAAAAAGAGGATGTTGAGAAGTATGTACACCACTTTGAACGCCCCAGAGAAAGTATATCTGCCCCTCCCATGCCATATGATGTCATATGATGTCACATCTGTGATGTCACGTATGGGGCAGGTGGAGACACGGTTGCCCATGCACAACCAGGAGCCTTAAAGCCTGTTCCTGATGGTGTGTCAGCAAGGGAAAGCACCTTTGGGCTTTACCACCCATTAGCTGGTGGGAGCTGGAGCCGAATCCTGCTGGATCAGGGGCACAGGGAACGCCCTCTCGTTGCCAATGCTGGCATAGCTCTTGCTCCCAGGTGTTCGTAGGCTGCTTGCGGTCACCCGTTGGTGAAAGTGAGGTAGGAGCACAGGTAGGTAGTTAAAAGAGCCTAAACCCATGACCAAAAAAAAGTGTGCTTAAAATTATCACATGCCCCTTTATATATACAGAGGTGGTTTTAGGTATCTGAGCAAATTACTGGTGGCTGGGGTGTGTTATTTTTCTGTTTGCCCTGCAGCCCTGCAAGCAAAAGTTCTCTCTCTCTCTCTCTCTCTCTCTCTCTCTCTCTCTTAAAAACTAAGTTTGTTTTTAAAGTGGGATGGAGACAAGGGCAGGAGTATGATAATCCAGTGCAAAAGATTATGGACCAGGAACTGCAAGATCAGGGTTCTAATCCCTACTCAGTCAAAAGACCTCACTAGGTGGCTTTGGGCCAATCAGTGCCTCTCAAGCCTAGCCTGTCTCACAGGGTTGCTGTAAGAGTAAAATGGGGGAGGAGAACCTTGAGCTCTTTGCGGGGCGGGGGCGGTATATAAAACATGGGTTGTGAATGTAAAAATTACCATATTTTTCTCTGTATAAAAAAACATTTTTTGCTTTATTTGTGTGTGTTTTTTGTCAAAAGTTGGGTGTCGTCTTATACATGGATTGTTAAAAAAACTTTGAGAGCGATTGCCCCCCCCAAAAGGTGAGAAACTTGCTGCCACATCTGGATTTTCACTTCTAGAGATTTGGCAACCCGAAAGATTTGTTTTTTGTTTGTTTTTTAATAAAAGGGTTCAAAAAATTGGGGGGGCGCTTTATACATGGAAAAATACAGTAATAAATAAAAGGTGCCAGCACTAAAGCACTCTGCACATGTTCAGAGGCACTCTCTTTTTCTTCCTCATTATTTCAAATCTTTCCATTTCAGTATGTCCTGGGGCTGAAGACCTGAACCTAAAGAAAGGGGGATGCTCTCAGGCTGATGAATCGAAGCCTTGCCAAAAGAGCCAACTTTGGGTGTTTGCTTTTTTTCCCCTGGTCACCTCCAGAGCTCTGCTCATTCACACACACAGCTGAAGGCGGGCAGTTGGCATCCTTTGACTGGCGTCCTTTTAATGGGCACCCAGCCGAGGGCTTGTTAAGAGGCTGAGTCCTCCTGGTGCCCACCTGCCTTGGGAGAGGAGGATTAAATAATTCAGATTGCCGCTGGAGAGCAGCCAGCTGCCCCTCCCCTCCTCTCCCCACCCCCTCCCACCTCCTCTCTTCCCTGCCTCCTCCTGCCCTCACGTCTCTACCTACACAGTTCCCCAACGCAGCAGGAATGAGGTTTGAGCTCAGCTACCCTCAGTTGCCTTTCGCAGAGAGGGAAGTTGGCACCGGGCACCTCTGCTGCTGCTGCTGCTGCTGCTGTTGAGGGGGGTCCGTCTCTCCAAGGGAGGTGGATCCAGAAGGGGGCTGGCAACAGATCCAGAGACCCCCATCCCCATCCTTCACAAGAGGGGCAGAGTGAGTGGGGGGCACTCCTCCTTGGCGTAGGCTGGAAGAAGACACGGGCTCTGCTACAATGGACCCGAAGGAGAGGAAGAAGATCCAGTTCTCGGTGCCGGCTCCCCCTAGCCAGCTGGACCCCAGAGCGGTGGAAATGGTAAGGGGGACGAGGGTTAGGGTCAGGGGGGCGGCAGAGGCGGCTTGGGACTTAGGGATCAAGTTGCTGGGAAGTGTGAGCTGGCACTGATTTGCCGGAGTCTCTCGCAGGCAGTCTTTCAGCTTGCAATGCAAATAAGCACATCCAATGTGCTTCATGTTCTAACACACACAGAGAGAGACGGGAAACACAGGAACTTCGGTCTTTAAAATATATATTACAGGGAAGGAAGACTTGCTGAAATCTGTGGGACTTATTTCCGAGTCCTCAGGTTAAGCGCGTCTATGAAATGCCCTTTGTACGATGCATATTTCTTATATTGAATGTGTGTGGCTCCCACTCTTTTCTGCTGTGAGCATTTTAGTGCTCCTTTTTTAAAAACGTGTTAAGAGTTTTCTTGTAATTTGCATCATTGCCGTTTTAACTTTGTGTAAGCCTTCCCAGAAACCTGTTGAAGAGCGGGGTGTATGAACCAGCTAAGTAAGAGAATTTAGTATTTGAAGCATTGTGTATTTACGTAGGGATTTAAGTGACTTGCATGCAAGTAACACCTGTGAATGCAAGACCAAAATGAACTAATGAACCCAACTAGGAAAATACAGTTAATGCATTGGAAATGCACTTTATTTCCTCCTTCCACAGGTGCACATACACGCCCAGATGTGCACTGTTCGCTCTTCTTGCACAACCACCCCTGAATCCAAGCTTATTTAAAAAAAGTGGGCACTTTTCCCCCAAGATGGCCATTTAAGTATACATTCCTGCACACCCCACATTCAGTGTGCATCCAAACTTTCTTTTCATGCTTTTATTTTTACTCCAATGAGCAAATTCTCACATCAGATGCAAATCCCTGCTTTTCACACCTGCCTTTGCGCTTTCTGCAATTTCACACTTAAACCATGCAGTCACACACACACACACACACACACAGCGAAGAAATCAACACTTTGAAAATTGTAACTTTTGGCCAGTTTTTTTTTGTTTTTTACAACCATGGTTTCTGGTCCTTATGGCTTTGGAAACTTCTCAGTGGGAGTGTGAGGACAAGTCCTGGTGGAATCTCTGAAATCAGAAACAGGGCTCTTAAGAACAGGATCTCCAGAGATCAGGGGGTGGAGCGTCTGCTCTCTACTCTTTGCTCCTCCCTGTGACCAACTGAAGAGAATGTGTGATGCAAAATAAGCAAATATATGTGTGTTTGCAGATGCCCGCTTTTTCAGAATTTGAGTTACCTAGATGCAGATTTCTCTCTCTAATTAGTTAATTCCACCTGCCCACATAGTATACATAGCCTCCGGCCAGAAGTTTTCTGTGAGTGGCATTGAGCAAATAAGTCACTGGCTTGCAAACTCTGTTCACCATCCGTAAAATGCAAATACTTACAGCCTATCTCTTGGATTTGTGTATGTAAGGATATGTACGCCCACATCCACACATGCATAATCATAATGTGATTTGCACACTAAAAGTGCTACAGAAATTATTATAATTTCTAGGGCCACGATCTAGTAAGAAAGATGCACTTTCGAGTGTGAGAGTTAAGCACATGTTTAAAACTTTCTCATGGAAATCAGTGGAACTTAACTGTATCAGTGTTGACGCTATCGACTGTACAACATTGGTGGATTGCATTTATAGACCACCTTTTTTCTCCACAACAACCTTGTGAGGTATGTTAGTCTGAAAGGCAGTGAATCTCCCTTTCTCTTACACAAACAGAGCATGGATTGGCTAGAACAGGAGAAGAATTAAGAATCACAGCCTTGTAGAGTTGGAAGGGACACCGTGGGGCATCTAGTCCAACCCCCTGCAATGCCCAGTGTGGGGTTCAAACCTACGACCCTGAGATTCAAAGATGTATAACTTGCTGTTGAAATGGAATACTCAGGATGAAACGGTGAAATCTGCTATGATTAAATGGGCACAAGATGTTGGACATAACATAATGATGGCTGACTGGGAACAGTTATGGACCACAGGTATGAAGTTTACGGCATGCAATGCCTTAAGAGAGAATATTATGAAAATGATATACAGGTGGTACATGACCCCAGTCAAGCTTGCAAAAATCTATCACTTGCCCGATAATAAATGTTGGAAATGTAAAGAAACTGAAGGTACATTCTTTCACCTTTGGTGGACGTGCCCAAGGATTAAGGCTTTCTGGGAGATGATTTATAATGAATTAAAAAGGTATTTAAATATACCTTCTTGAAGAAACCAGAGGCCTTTCTCCTGGGCATAGTCGGCCAATCGGTGTTAAAGAAGGATAGAACTTTCTTTATGTATGCCACAACAGCAGCAAGAATACTTATTGCAAAGTATTGGAAGACACAAGACCATTCTGGAAGAATGGCAGATGAAGGTGATGGACTACATGGAATTGGCGGAAATGACTGGCAGAATCCAAGACCAGGGAGAAGAGTCGGTGGAAGAAGATTGGAAGAAATTTAAAGACTATTTACAGAAATACTGCAAAATTAATGAATGTTAGAATGATGTTGGATTGAAGTTAAGTGGTTTTTAGCTGTAATGGTATAAAAGAATATGAAAAAATGGATTTTTAACAGGTAAAAATTTAATGCTATAATATATTAAGATTAAAGATCAGGATAAAACAAAGAGGGAAAGGACTTGCTGAACTAATAAATTGAACTGGAATACAGAAAAGGGAGGTATGAGGAGGTCCGGGAAACAAGCAAATGAAAGATCAGTGATGGAAAGATTGAATTGTTTTTAACTATTTTTATTTTGTATTTTTTCCTTTTTTCTTTTTCATTTTGTAATATTGTGAAAACCCTAATAAATATTTATATATATATATAAAAAAAAAACCTACGACCCTGAGATTAAGACTCTTATGCTCTGCTGACTGAGCTATCTCAGGAGACTGTTAAATCTTGGTAGCAACAAATTCCTAATTCCAGAGGAGTACTAACAGCAACCAAAGCAAAGGAGACTCTTTTTGGACCTCTGAAGACTAACCAATATATGGCAGCTGGCGTAAGCGGGGAATAGATTATAGAAAAGATCTTGTCATATGCACAAAGCTGTCAGCTATATATGCATACATTCCATGAGTGCAGCTGCACAAAATTGTAAAGATGAAATGCTTCTTGCAGTGGGTGCAGCTTAATGGTTAACACTACCTGTGCTGCTTTAAAGGGTCCAGCCTTCTCCAATAACCTCTTACTGCAGTGGAGGTAAAGGTAAAGGACCCCTGGACAGTTAAGTCCAGTCAAAGGTGACTATGGGGTTGCAGTGCTCATCTCGACTCCTATGTCTGAGAAGGGCTGTCCCCGAATGCCCTTCCCCTTCTGCATCAGGGTCTTCACCCCTAACCCCTGAAGATGAGGAACCTGACTCCAGAGTCACCATGACAGAAACACTAGCTGATAAGAAGGTGGAGAACACCAGGAAGTATTCTTTGTTGCACATTCACAATGATTTGTTCTCATGATGCTCTTGGGGTCGTCACACGCAACCCAGCTCCCTGCTCCTGCAAAGTTTTTTAGAGCTGCTCACATACTTTCTGTCCAATCGGTGCACATCCCGTAACTCCCTGATGAAATTCCATAACTTTTCATACTACGGATGTTCTGGTTTATTTCTGCCTTGCTTTTTCTACGCTATAGCCCCTCCAGACAGCAACAGCACTGGGGGAGAATCGTGGAACAAATGAAAGCAGAATAAATCCACCCCCTATAATGCCCTGCGGGACGCGGGTGGCACTGTGGGTTAAACCACAGAGCCTAGGACTTGCCAATCAGAAGGTCAGCGGTTCGATTCCCCGCAATGGGGTGTGCTCCCATTGTTCGGTCCCAGCTCCTGCCAACCTAGCAGTTCGAAAGCACATCAAAGTGCAAGTAGATAAATAGGTACCACTCTGGCGGGAAGGTAAATGGCATTTCCATGAGCTGCTCTGGTTCGCCAGAAGCAGCTTAGTCATGCTGGCCACATGACCGGATGCTGTACGCCGGCTTCCTTGGCCAATAAAGAGAGATGAGAGCCGCAACCCCAGAGTCGGCCACGACTGGACCTAATGGTCAGGGGTCCCTTTACTTATAATGCCCTATGACTGTGTCAGAAACTTGTTGCAGAATACGATAAAATGGAGGTAACCAGAAAAGTGATGGAATTTCAGCAAGAAGTTTCCAAACAGGCATTGATGGAAAATGAAGTACGTAGTGTGAGCACCCCAAAACTTTTGCAGCCACAGGCAAGATTAGCAGGGCAGCATATTATATTATTATTATTATTATTATTATTATTATTATTATATAGCTGCCCCAATAGCATCACAAGCACAAATAATGAAGAATGCACAGGGAGGGGAAAGGATGCCTAGAGGGGGGCCTTAAGTGTTCCTAGGGAAATTAAAGTCCTTCCGACTCTTCCCCACCCCAACGCTTTCTCGTATGCTGAGCAGCATAACAATAATATATTGAATTATGAAGAGCTGAGCTGGCTGCTTCTTTCCTCATTCGCATCTGATGTGTCTTTATTTCCTCCCCTCTGAGCAGCCAATGGAGACCAGCAGGGACCCAGTCATGTTCTCTGGCATGCCAGGGAGCTCTTGCCAGCCAATTCAGCTGCCTCCTCCCAAGATGCAGGCATGGGCTCTCTTCCCAAGCCACTTACGTAGCTGAGGGAGGCATCCCTGAAATCCAGGCACCTCTGGTGATTACCTAGGGCTGTGTTAAAACAGCACTTTATTCCAGTTTCCTTACCTGATCTTTCTTTGCATTTTACATCTTCTTCCACATGAAGTAAAGGCCACTTCTGGCCATCTAGCAGAATCTAGTTGACATTTAGCACTCATCTCTCTGTTAATTGCTTTGTCTGCAACCCCGTTAACCTGGGAAATCGCAGTACGAAATGTGGGATGGTGGTGGTTCTGGCATAGAGGTCCTCCCTGCTGTTTCCGTGTGTGAATCGTGGGGGGGGGGACAGATGTGCACGTGCACATGAAGGGTGAGGTGTGTGTGGCAACGACGTGTTCGATGACGTCTGCTGTTGAGTCACACCACGCCCACCAGTGGGAATGAAATGTAGAGCGGCAGGGTGGTATATTGGTCAAAAAGCCACAGTTTCGTAATGCAGCAGGTGATGCAATGTGAAACAAATGTTATGGACGGGGACAGAAGTGCTGGCATTTCAGCTAGGGAGACAAATGCAGCCTCTATAGCTCAGTCGATAGAACAGGAGACTCTAAAGCTTAGGGTCGTAGGTTCGAGCCCCACATTGGGCAAAAGATTCCTGCATTGCAGAGGGTTGGACTAGATGACCCTCAAGGTCCCTTCCAATTCTACAATGCTATGATTCTATGATTCCCCATGTCCGAATGCACCCTAATTTGCCTCTATGGTCGTGGAAGGAACAGGAGAGGCAAGCCAAAAGCAGTACAGTGGTACCTCGGGTTACATACGCTTCAGGTTACAGACTCCACTAACCCAGAAATATTACCTCAGGTTAAGAACTTTGCTTCAGGATGAGAACACAGGGCATGGATGAAACTAGTGGTCCCAGTGCTCATTCCCAAATCCAGGAATGGGGCCCTAGTTGCAGCTCCCAAACATGCTCAAAGTCTTGTCTCACAGAGAAGACCTTAGGGTACTAGGCTTGTGAATTTGTACAGGCAAAATTGGCAGGAGTGGTGTGTTCTCAGAACCTCACCCTTAAAAAAAAAAAAAAGAATACATTGCCCATCTTTTTATGTGTCATATTCCTCTGCAAAACTAACAAATCCTCCATATGATATCTGTTCCAGATCCGCCGACGAAGACCAACTCCAGCCTTGCTGTTCCAGCTGTCAGAAACATCATCCCCTGGTGAGTCTTAATTCTTCTTATCAGGCCAGGATGGGGGAAGGAGAAGAGGACAGGTGGCCTGGGGTGTGGACTAGATGGGCCTTTGGCTTTTCTTATATCCTTACGTCCACAGTGGCAGCATTTGAATATGTATGAACATTCAAAACTGGTTTATATCAAGTCAGAATGTTGGCCCATCTAGACCAAGAGTGAGGAACCTATGGCTCTTCAGAAGTCACTGGACTACAATCCCATCATCCCTGACCATTGGCCATGCATGCTAGGGCTGATGGGAGTTGTAGTTCAGCAACATCTGGAGTACAATGTTTCCCGTTCCTGATTTAGATCCTTCAGCTGGAGATAGCAGGGGTACAGGCAGGCGTTGGGCAGGAAAACAGGTAACAGACTGTATGGCAAAGACCTTCTTTTGCAAAAAACAAAATCCAGACACTGTTTCCTTGAGAACAACAACAACTAAATTTTTAAATCTTTTTGGAATAAGCTAAACAACCTTCCTTCTGATTCCTGTTCTCGATTTATAAAATCACTGCATGTGTATGATAAGATGCATACCGAACATTTCAAAATTATTCAGATGCCTGTAAACTCCAGTAACCCAAGGCTGTTCTGGAGCTGTTACATTTGATTGGCTTGGTTTTACAACTTTTTTTTTTATTTGTACAAATGACGTCAGCCAAAAACTTTGGTTACAGAGCAACTCAGAAATACAACGCTATAAATCAGCAATCCCTTACCCTGCCCACCCCCAAAACAACCACACCTCTGTCAGGTTGGCTGGTAAAATCTCCAAACTGCAGATGAATAGAAGTTAGAAACTGAGAATTTTGTGGTTTAGGGATATAGGCAAATGCCTTGTATCAAGCCAGATGATTGGTACGCCTTGCTGAATAAAATCTACGTCAGCCTTCGTCAATTTGGTGCCCTGTTGGTGTTTTCAATTACAACTTCCTTCAGGTTGGCGAAAACCAGTAGGTGCTGACTGGCAACTTCTCAGACAGGGATCCTTCCCAGCCCTACCTGGAGATGCGGGGGCTTGAACCTGCTACAGACTTCTTTATGAACCCCTCAGCTGTGACCCTTCCCCACCTAGTGCGTTTGTGGCTGGGGTGAGACCCAGCCTGGAGTCTGGCCAGTGCACAGTCTTAGCTGCTACAGTACATTAGCTGCTTAAAAATAAGTGATATACTACATAGGTAAAGGTAAAGGGACCCCTGACCATTAGGTCCAGTCGTGACCGATTCTGGGGTTGTGGCACTCATCTCGCTTTATTGGCTGAGGGAGCCGGCGTCAGCTTCCGGGTCATGTGGCCAGCATGACTAAGCCGCTTTCTGGCGAACCAGAGCAGCGCACGGAAACGCCATTCACCTTCCTGCCAGAGCGGTACCTATTTATCTACTTGCACTTTCACGTGCTTTCAAAGTGCTAGGTTGACAGGAGCTGGGACCGAGCAACGGGAGCTCACCCCGTCGCTGGGATTCGAACCGCCGACCTTCTGATCAGCAAGCCCTAGGCTCTGTGGTTTAACCCACAGAACCACCCGCGTCCCTTATATGCTACATAAACACACGCTAAACAACTTAAAGATTCAGAAATCTTTTGTAAGGGAAATGCAAACTAAGAACCAAGGAAGGGAAATACCACTCCCCCAACATGGAAAGCAGAGGCAGCTGCGCCCCCGTCCTTCCCATAACAAGCCTTGCTTGTCAAACTGCATTGCAGGAAAGCTCATCGCTGGAGTTTCTTTCTGTGCTCAAGGTTCCATCCAAGCAGCTGGAAAATAAGACTATGTTCCTTGGTATCTCTTGCTAGAAGTGAACAGCCTTCCAGCCCTTGGTAGCTCCTTCTCTGGACAATAGCCTCCCTTGTTGTACAGGGACAGGCAGGGCATGAAGGACAGAATCTACCTATTCCATGGGCTGATTCCCTCCCAAGGAACTTTCCGCAACACATCCTCCAGCTATGTTTATGTGGCCAGGAAACTTTCACAGTCGGAACGGTGGGTGAGCAGAGTTGTTGCTTAACTGCAGCTGGAATTTGCCAGTGGTTGGCTCCGTTCCAGACCTCAGAGTTGGGCCCCGCGAGTGCAGTTTCTCGCAGCGCACATTGGGGTGTCTTAACACACAACGGCTTAATTTCTGAAATGAGACCTTGCGTGCTTCCAGACCGGGAGGCTTTATATCACACATAGTGTTTATGAGTCTGTGATTGACGTATATTTCGCAAGACCTCTGTATTATTATTATTATTATTGGATTATTATTATAGGATTATTATACATGCACTGTGCAGAGGTCCTGAGCGAACACTTCCTCTGAGCTGCCTTGTTGAAATTCAGACGTGTCTTTAGTAAGCAGCAATAAGTGGAAATAGGTAAAGGCAAAGGGACCCCTGACCATTAGGTTCAGTCGTGGCCGACTCTGGGGTTGCGGCGCTCATCTCGCTTTATTGGCTGAGGGAGCCGGCGTACAGCTTCCGGGTCATGTGGCCAGCATGACTAAGCCGCTTCTGGCAAACCAGAGCAGCGCATGGAAACGCTGTTTACCTTCCTGCCAGAGCGGTACCTGTTTATCTACTTGCACTTTGACGTGCTTTCGAACTGCTAGGTTGGCAGGAGAAGCGGAAATAGACACACTTAAAAATCGAAGAAGAGTGTGCTGGATCAGGCAAAGCATCCCGTTCTCACAGTGGCCACCCTGTGGTAAACCTGCAAGCAGGATTTGACCAAAAGTGCACTCTCCTCTCCTGTGGTTTCCAGCGGATGGTATTCAGAAGCATTGCTGGCTCCAACTGGGGAAGGCAGTGCATAGATCATAGATCATGGCCCTTTCCTCCGTGAATTTGTCCAGTCCTCTTTTAAAGCCATCCAGGTTTGTGGCCATCCCTGCCTCCTGTGGGAGCAAGATCAGTAGCTGAACTATGCACTGCATGAAGAAGTACTTGTTTTTATCTGTCCTGAATCTTCCAGCATTCAGTTTCATTATGAGAGAAGGGGGAGGGGACCTTTCTCCATCCACTATCTCCATGCTGTGCATCCCATAAGGAACAAAAAAGGCTAGGTTGTGCTCAGGTGAGGAACAAACGGAAGCAGCAGTGTGGCAACGGAGCCCACCCACAGAAATGTCACATAACAAACAGCCCGTCACAAAAATCCACTTGTGATTGTGGACGTACACAACAGGTAATTTTTTACTGATCTGAAATCCAGGTGGAACCACTAAAAGGCAGACACTTTGGTGGCGGTGATATGTCCATGATGCAAAAACATCTGAGCAGTTCTGCAACAAACTCCCATCAGTGTCAGGGTCTGGGTGGAGGAGGAATGGTGCAGACCACCTCCCCAGCCTGACCCTTCCAGAGAAGAAGGAGACAGTTCAGAATGACAACAGAAGTTTGAGGGAGGTCACAGCTCAGAGGCAGATGAAGGGGAAAGCTGGGAAATAGTGGGAGAGGAGGAGGAGGAAGAAGAAGAAGAAGCACTAGGGGAGAAACAGCTGATGGACTCAGTGTCTTTAGAAAGCATTCAAGACCCGCCCCCCTTTCTCCCAGAACACGGTGGGCCTTGAAAGTAGGAGAGCAAAGAGCTCAAAGGCAAAGGGCACTTTCCAGGACCCATAGCACTGGCTCATGAGGAAGTGGGAGAGACAGAGGGGGTGGGGTTTCACTCAGAGCAACGCCATTATTCTGAGAGGCCACACTCCCAAGCCTCTCTCTGTGAATATTGCATAAATGCAGATGGTAAGGACTTTTCCTTGTCTTGTCCATTCCTGGCAACCTGCCGTGGGGGTTGGATCCTCGGCTGCCTGACAATCAGGACGCACTGCTAGCCATGTTCATGCAGAGGTAACCAGAGGTGGTGCCCATGGGTGAAGATGTGCCCACAGAGACCTTCTTAGACTTGAAAGAAGCAACTCTGTTGTAGCCAGTAAAATAGGTGTGCTTGGTCCCTGGGTGTGGGTGGATACCTATATTTTTTACCTGTTTGGAATGTCCCCATGATTGGCGACACCTTGCTAATGCATTCCCATAAGCCAGGCATGTCCAACAGGCAGATCGTGATCTACCAGTAGATCACTGGACGTCTGTGGTAGATCACCGGTAGATCAGTGGCTCTCCCCAAAGAAGCTAAAAAACTTTGGCTCCCCTAAAAAAGCATCTTTGCCCTGCATCCCTTAAAAACGGGGCTTTCCTCCCTAAAAAAAGCTCAGTGTCACTTTCCTTCTCCCTAAAGAAGCTCAACAACTTTGACCTGAACCCCAAAAAAGGGGGTAGATCACTGCCAATTTTTAACTCTGTGAGTAGATCGCAGACTCTTGGAAATTGGCCACGCCTGCCATAAGCCATTGCTTTCACTCTGGAAGATCTAAACTCCAGGTGGCTACATACTGGTGGGGGAAAGGAGCATGCGAGATGCAGGTTGCTGCCTTGTACCAACTCAAACCACTGGTCTATCCAACTCAGCATCACCTGCTCTAACCAAGCAGTGGCCCTCCAGGGATTTCAGGCAGGAGTATTTCCCAGCCCTATCAGAAGATGCCTGGGGCTGGGCCCTTCTGTAAACAACGAATGTGCTCCACCACCGATCTGTGGCCCAACGTACAGAAATGGGTTCTGTGGAGCTCAGGCACATTAAGCAAGGTTACGATCTCTTGGGATCATGGACACGTTTAATTGGAGAGGCTCTTCTTCACACAGAAGATCTGGGCAGCTCCTAACCAAGACACAAACAGTATTTTTTAAAACGTGAAGATAATTTTCAGAAAACAAGATACACAGAGGAAGCATTGTTTATCCCTGGCAGTTGAACATTTTTTCCAAGCCAAAAGGTCTGGCAGAGGCCCAGGATGAAACCTGGGTTTTGGCTAACCACTGGAGGGTGAGTTCCAGAGTTCCATCTTTCTGAGTCCTCTCCTTGTTCTAAACGCCATGCTCAGCTGATCTAAAAACAGGGATGGGAATCTTGTAGCCCTCGAGATGTTTGCCGGACTACAACTCCCATCATCCATGGCAATTGGCCTTGTAAGCTGGGGTTGTTGGGAGTTGGAATCCAGCAACAGCTGGGCAGCCAGAGGCTCTCCACCAAAAACAGGGTGGGGCAGAGTGCCCAGATGCTAAGGAGCTAAGGAGCTAAGGAGAAGAGGGCATTTCAGCAGTCAGGCTTGGTAGCCCTCGTACTGTTCCACTTGGAAATGAAGCTCTACCCCTATCCCCATACCTTCCAACATTTCTCCAGTGAAATAGGGACTTCCTATTAAATAATAATAATAATTTTACTGTTTATACCCCCCCCCCTTCTGACTGAGTTGCCCCAGCCCCTCTGGGTGGCTTCCAACACATATAAAAACATAATAAAACATTAAACATTAAAAAAAAACTTCCCTATACAGGGCTGCCTTCAGATGTCTTCTAAAGGTTGTATTTTCACTTATCTCCTGAGATCTGGGGTTGCATAACTCCATACCCTCTGACATTTCTCTGATGAAAATAGAGACGTCCTAAGGAAAAGCGGGACATTCCAGGATCAAATCAGAAATTGGGATGGCTTCTGAAAATCTGGGACTGTCCCTGCAAAATAGGAACAATTGGGGGGGGGGTCTACATTCCCAGTTGCTGACACGGGCCTGATTTTGAAGAAAGGCCTGTGCGTTGGATTGTGAGAGGGGTGGCTTCTCCACAAAAAAGGCACAGTTACAAAAGACTTTTTGGCTTGCACTGACTTATGCCCACCAATAGCTCCATTCATCAGTGGACCCCATGAAGCTTCAACAGGGAGGCAGCTGCTCCCACGCTAGGCGTAATGGATTTAACCAGGTTATTACTGCTGAATAGGAGGTAAAACATTCCAGCCTGGTTCATAAATCCAAGCAGCTGAGCAGGTACTCTCTGAACACGACTGCAGGCAATTCCATGCAGGAAAGCTATTTGCGTAAGCGGCTCACTGTGCTCTTTGGGGTGGTTTAAAAACATGCTGATGAGCTCCCATGGTTTGCAGAGGCACTGTTGAAATCAACCCAGTGCGGGGAGCCAGTCACACAAATAGATTGCTGTGCCAAGCTGCCTCCGCACAGTCAAGTTGCCAGGTGGTCACCTGCCTGGTTGCTTGAATGCATGAATGAGACACCCTGTGCCACCAGCACAACTTTGCCACGAAACGCCTATGAGCGTGAATCAAGTCCTTTGCACCTCTCCCGGTGTCCTGGAGCAGGCCTCCCCAACCTGGTGGCCTGCAAATCCCAGCAGCCACTGCCAATGATCAGGGATGATGAAAGGTGTCCTCCACAATGTCTAGAGGATGCCACATTGGGTATTTCTGTCTCAGATTGCGGAAATTCAGATTGCAATTCTACGCCTCTCTGTTGTTTGCTTTTACTGACGCTGCTCTCTTTTCTTGTTTGCTTCTTTCTTCACCTGCTCGCTGCAGAAGACGAAGGTTCTCCATACCAGGTCAGTATCACTGGTTATATGTAGGAGAAGAAGGCATGCAAAGGAAAGGAGCAGTTGGGTGAAAAAGGCTACAAGGGCATATCTGGTTTAATAGTAATTCCTTGTCCCCAGAGATTCCTGGAGATGTTGGGTTGCCTGTCATACAGTCATACCTTGGGTTACAGACGCTTCGGGTTGTGTGATTTCGGGTCGCGCACCACTCCAAACCCAGAAGTACTGGAACTGGTTACTTCTGGGTTCCGGTGCTTGCGCATGCGCGGAAGTGCTAAATCGCACTTTGCGTGTGCGCAGAAGAACCGAATCGCAACCCGCATGTTGCGGCGCTGCGGGTTGCGAATGTGCTTCCCGCACGGATCACATTCACAACCTGAGCGTCCACTGTATCTCAGCTTTCTTCCATCCTGATGGAACGGCAATTTGCACAGGCAGGATTCCTAGGTGCAGTGGTGTGGGGTGAAATTTTTCATAACGGAAACAGTTAGGGCCAGAGGAGCCAGCTTGCAAGTTCAGTGTAAGGTCAACATTGTGCACACCTGAGTATTGCACCTCCCTCCCTAAACAGGGCAGAAGCTTCCTGGGCTTTGGGAAGGAGGTGCCAGGCTTCTGTCAGAATGCCAGAGCTCTGCTGCCTCCTTCCCAAAGTTGGGCAATCTTGGGAAGGTGGCAGGAGGGCTCTTGGACCCCATCAGAGAGAGAACCAAGTAGCATGTCCCCATTATTCTTTTTTTATTGGTATACTAAGTGCCTCTTACTCAGGGCCGGATTTAGGTTTGATGAGATCCTAAGCTACTGAAGGTAATGGGGTCCTTTATATGTCCAGCTGTCCTTTGTCAACAACAAATTGTCACTGTTTTTTTTGTGTTGAATATATGCTGTATGGTAATTTATGGACCTAATAAGTATCTAAAGCCATTTGCACATGTTGCCATGCAGCTAGTCCATGCAGAATGTAGGCACCCTATATATAGAGATGAGCAAACCAGTGATATTTTAGGGAGCAGGCTAGCAGCCCATTACTTACATCATAGGAGCCTACACAACACAAAACACTGTTGCTGTATGTAGGTTTTATTTTATATGTTTTTTATCTTGTATTTTGGAAATGTACATCCAGGTGTTTTTTTCCTTTAAATTTTTTTGGGGCCCCCAAGAGAGTGGGGCCCTAAGCTATAGCTTGTTTAGCTTATACGGAAATCCAGCACTGCTCTTACTCAGCATTGCTTGGGAATTCTAAGAAACCAAAAAATCAGTGCTGTGCAAAAGCTTCAGCCCTCCATCTTAATTTAAAATGGTGCCCCATCGTATCCAAACATGGACAAAAACCTGCTTCTTGACCTCAGGAACCATCATGAAGACTTTGGTTCGGATATCTCAAGAGGTGTCCAACTGCATAAAGAACAGACAGCATTCCAAAATACACAGTAAATTTCACAGTAATGGCACACCAGCTTTCTTTCAGGGAAGCTTGTTCCCCATCATTGATCTCTTTGGCTACACAATGATAGGATTCTGAGGTGCCCTAATTTTCTCCAGAACACATTCTGAAAAGCATTGCTGCATTATATTCTGGAGGAGTATGTTATAGGCCACCCAAAACGGTGTGCATTTTCACTCTGCACACGTGTGTGTGTGTGTGTGTGTGTGTGTGTGCCTGCCAAGGAAGGAGGCTCCTTCTGAATAAGTGCAGGGTGCTTACTACCCCTCAGTGCTGTTGCGTAAGCACAGCCAGCCTCCCCCTCCAAGTATCTATGGGTGTGAGGAGGCAGAATTCCTGAATATGGAGGAGTGGTTGACTTCCTTACTGCTTCTCTGAACAAAGGCTTAGAACATTTTAAGGTGAACTGTTTAACATGGAAATCAAAACTCCGGCTTTTATGCAATCAGTGGGTGGGGAAATGGTTCTGCTTGAAGAATACTGCATTTTCGCAGCATTCAAGCTTCTGCTTGCATGAGTGTCAGAGACAGTGCATGAGAGCCAGTGTGGTGTAGTGGTTAGGAGCAGTGGATTCGTAATCTGGTGAACCGGGTTCGCGTCTCCGCTCCTCCACATGCAGCTGCTGGGTGACCTTGGGCTAGTCACACTTCTCTGAAGTCTCTCAGCCTCACTCACCTCACAGAGTGTTTGTTGTGAGGGAGGAAGGGAAAGGAGATTGTTAGCTGCTTTGAGACTCCTTCGGGTAGTGATAAAGTGGGATATCAAATCCAAATTATTATTCTTCTTCCTAAATGGGGGGTGGGAATTGTTGGTTCAAGGTGAATAATTCTCAAAATAGGGGGAGGCTGAGGTTTTGTTTATTTGCTAATTAGTGGATCAGTGTATTTATTTGTTTATCAATTGAATATTGCTAATATTGCTCGCTACTATTTATGTGGCTTGTTCCCCACCCCCACAGATGTTATATGTAAAATTAATGTATGATATGATACCCCCCTTTCCCCCTGTAATATTGTGTACTGTGTATTTTTCTTTGCTGTAAATCACTTGGAGACCTTCAGATGACAAGCGACTAATAAGTTTAAATAATAATAATAATAATAATAATAATAATAATAATAATAATGGTGAGCAACTCAGGGTTTATCTGCACCTCTGCATGCCCCACTGCTCCCCCAACCCCAGGGAAACCCATTCTTTGGCGCTAAATCCAAACAAATGGCAATTGGGTTTTCTGCAGACTGCCGTTTGTTCCGATTTAGCTCTAAAGAGTGAGGGAAAGTCTGGAAAGCATGGGACAAGGAGAAAAACACTTGGACCCATGCTTTCCAGGCCCAGGACAAACAGGAGTGTGGACGAGCCTTTAGCTTCGTGTGCTGTGCTGAATAGCAGCCCTTAGCTAGCAAAGAGGAAACTCACAGGAGATCTGGAATGAATTAACCCAGGAATTCTCAAACTTTGTGCCAGTGCATGCTAATAAATTATTGTGGCGAGGTCAAGTAAATACGTAACAGAACCCAAAATACTTGATGAGGGGTGCTAGCTCGAATAAAATAATCACAAGACGCAGCGCATGCACACCATTTGAATGGCAATGCCTATCAACTTGGGGGGCAAGCCCCCTCAAATGTTTTCCTGGGGGAGGGGTGAAGGGACTTCAGACCTAGTTGGCTCCTAGGTACTTGATACAGTGGAGTCTGCAGCAGGGTAGCTAGTCGCTCAGGCGCCCGGGGGCAGGGCAAGCCATCCATGGAGGCGAGGTGCTCTGGGCGGACCTGCATGGAGTCCACCCACCGCTTTCTGCATGAGTCCCTGCTCTGAGGTTGCCTCTTTCCACCAGCCTTCGCTGGCTCGCTGATCCTCCCTCATCTCTGCAGCAGAGCGTTCAATCACACTTGGCACAGAATCACAGCAGAATTATCCACCCTCAAAGCAGGCTGCATATGACTGGCGTCTCTGCTCAGGTCGGCATTGCTCAGATCAGCAATTCATTTAGAAACTTCAGCAAGCATCAACTCTTGGCAACCTCTGAGACAGTTGCCAGGGCCCCAGCCCTCTGGCAGACCCACTGATACCTTGGGGTCCCTTATTATTATTATTTTTCTGGCCTGATGTTCTAAAAAGCAGCAGGTGACTAGATCAGGTCCCCTTTCCCCCCCACAGTGCCCCCAACCTAATATCGCTGTGAGAAATGAAGTGTGGTTAGACCCATCAGCCCAGTCCTGCTTGGAGCTCAGGAAGTCCATCGGGCCCACTGACAGAAGAGGGGGCCCACCCAGGGCCCGTTGCCCAGAGGCCCCACAAACCTGACAGACACAGGAGAGAGTAGAACCCTTTGGAGGGAAGAAGTAAGGCTTTTGGAGTGTAAAAGTTTGTCCACATTTGAGCATTATTTAGCTGCTAATCAAAATCCACCCCTGCACCTATTTACATTTGTATAGGAAGCAAAACTTTGGGCTTTCCCATGCACACCAGCAGGCAATTGCTTTTGTGTTTGTCCTTGCCTTCTCATTTGCTGATTCTATTGTGCCAGTTAAGTACCTACAGGGTGTGCAGAGGTAGACTCTTCCTTTCTTCAGCTGCTAGGTATCCTTCAGGCTCCCCCATTACAGATCCTCCACGTGTCCCTACTTTCCAGAGATGTCCCTGATTTAGAGAAGCCATCCCGGTTTCTGATTTCCTGGAATGTCCTGCTTTTCCCTATTTTCATTGGAGAAATGTTGGAGGGTATGGAGTTATTCGACTCCCGAGCTGTTTGTATAGGGATTTTTTTTAAAAAATAATAATTAATGTTTTATTACATTTTTATACAGTGGTACCTCGGGTTAAGTACTTAATTCATTCCGGAGGTCCGTTCTTAACCTGAAACTGTTCTTAACCTGAAGTACCACTTTAGCTAATGGGGCCTCCCGCTGCCACCGCGCCGCCGGAGCACGATTTCTGTTCTCATCCTGAAGCAAAGTTCTTAACCCGAGGTAATATTTCTGGGTTAGCGGAGTCTGTAACCTGAAGCGTATGTAAACTGAAGTGTATGTAACCCAAGGTACGACTGTATATGTTGGAACCTGCCCAGAGTGGCTAGGGCAACCCAGTAAGATGTGTGGGGTATAAATAGTAAAATTATCATTATGGAATGGGGCATCCCTATTTTCATGGGAGAAATGTTGGAAGGTTATGCCATTATTTCAGTACAGTGGTACCTCAGGTTACGTACGCTTCAGGTTACAGTTGCTTCAGGTTACAGACTCCGCTAACCCAGAAATACTACCTCGGGTTAAGAACTTTGCTTCAGGATGAGAACAGAAATCGTACTTTGGCGGCGCAGCGGCAGAGGGAGGCCCCATTAGCTAAAGTGGTGCTTCAGGTTAAGAACAGTTTCAGGTTAAGAACGGACCTCCGGAACGAATTAAGTTCTTAACCCGAGGTACCACTGTAATAGTAAGCGCAGGGCAGGGGGGAGAACATGAAGGCCAGGGGACTGCAACAACTGTGAGACTCTGCGTCTCTTTATTGTATGCCCTTTGCCTGGGCATTGCAATCTGCACTTCTGCTGCGCTAGAAGACCTTGGAATTTACTCAAACAAACAAAGAATGCCCCATTGGAAAGTCTGGCTCTTGAGCTTATCCCACCCCTCTCTCACACACACAAACACACCCAAGCCTGCAGAGAAAATTTATTCCAGCTTGCATTTTTCCATGACTTCCCCTTGATCTTCAATCACATTAAATTCCTCTTTAATATGCGACAAAGTACTGTTCTGGAATGGGATCCTGGGGACAGCAAGTCAGGAGCCAGAAGCTTAGTGCCTTTGAGAAAGACTGGCTGCTTTTCAAACTCTCCCCATGACTTGTCTGTTGTTTTATCAGATTATCCCTTTAATCGCTGAGTGTGCCGCCCCATTCCCCAGTTGGCAACTTGCTTTCCCCCCTTTTTTTCTGGAGGGGGGGAGGTAAAGCCCTTGGCAGAGGTCAGACAGAATGCATACCTTTTTCACCTGTTTCCCAACCCCAAAATGAGCGGGGAACACGGACATTTTTCCAAAATGCGATCAGAGCTTTTGTCTGGTGAACTACACCAAAAAAGGGGGGGGGGGGAGAGGAAAGGATTTTGCTGGTTTTCCAGAGCTGAATAGCTAGGTAACGGCTAACTTACATAGCAGTCAAAAACTGCTTTGAAAAAACTTTACTGCGATTAATCATCTGGGTTTTAGCTTGTTTGAGTAATTAAATGTAAAAGTTATTTCCAAAATCTATATATTTTCAGATTTCTTTTTTAAAAAGCTACTGAAATATTTAAGCAACCGAAAGAACTTGTGAGAACTCACAGTTTAATGCAAAAGAAAGGCCATCGTTTTTACATATGTAAAAAAATAAAAAATCCTTCCATTCTGTATTACAGTTACATCAGAAGAACCAAAATAACCTCAACAAAGTGTGAACATAATTCTCAGCCCTGCCTTTCAAATATTTCCATCACCAATTAAACAACTAACACTTCAGTTGCTTAATTTTCTGATTAGAGGCTGCAAATTTAGTAATGCGGATCTTATTTATTTATTTATTTATAGTTCCATTTAAGAAGCCCTGTCTAACGCCATAAACACCCTCCCTTCTCTGTGAACTGGAGTTCAGGGAGGAAGTGGGGCCAGTGAAATGACCTGCTTCGGGCAGCACCAGGGAAGGGGGAGAAGGGCGGGGAGGGAATAGATGAAGGCAAGATTGGTCGTCAAATGATGCAGCAATGAGACATTTCAGGGGAGGAGACTTTCCCAAGGGCTCTGCTTCAGGTCCCACCATGCCTTGGGCCACCACTGGTGAGAAGGACAAAAGCAGATTATCTTTTTCAAGAGAAGTACACTTCCTGCCACGGACTGTTTCAGCAGTAACCCTGCTCCTGCTTTTCCCAGAATGCCTCTGTCCACACCACCCCTTTCTTTTCCCTGAGCTAAACAGGTGTCCTCACTATCCTCTAAGTATTACCGATGTGGGTCAACTGTCCTGTGCCAGAGGTTCCTCCTTGGGCCTTCCCCCCACATCCAATAAAACTCTTTACTGTTAAAAAAAAGCTTTACATTATTTTTTGTTGTTGCAGCTGTTCACAGCCACTGTTCCCTCCATCTGCTGCTGCATTTATTAACTTATGATAATGTTTATTTCACTACTTATTATTACATCAATATCCCATTTCCCCTTCAAGGGAAGCTCTTTGGTGTGGCACATGGTTCTTCCTCCTTCCCCATTTTATCGTCAAAACAACCCTGTGAGGTAGGCTAGGCAACTGTCCCACAGTCAACTAGGTAGCTTCATGGGTTGAGTGGGGATTTGAACAATAATCTCCCAGGTTCTAGTCTGAGGCACTAACCATTACACCTCATAGGCTCTCAGGGGTGCTGACTTGAATAAAATATTGGGGTAGTCCAGGTAATAAGCTGCCCTGCATAATCGATCACAAGATCACATAATCGATGCACGCCATTTGAATGGCAAGACCCATCAACATTGGGGGGGGGGTGCAGCCCCTTCAGATATTTTATTGAGAGTGCGAAGGGACCTCGACCCCTAGGAGCTGGCTTCTATGAAGGCTCTCCCTCTGTCAAAGTGTGTTTTTATTTTTTAAAAAAAATAATACTAACTTTCCATTTTATAACATATAAATACAATCTTGGTTTTTTCACAAAGTTCACGAGCTCAAAGGAGCTCGAGTGATGTGAAAAAACAAAGTCAATGTGTGTTTTTAAAGGCTTTCTTCTCCATCGCCACATGATCCCAGCCGATCAGGGATAATGTTGTGAATGTGATGGTGTCATTAGCACCATTATGTCCTGCGTTGCCCTCTTTCGTGGCATGAGGGGAAAGTAAATACATCTCCACTGCCAAGGCATCATGTTCAACATGCTCTTCCTTGACATAAGACGCTACAGTGAAACCATCACAGGCGATGTGTAGGCCTGGTTGTCTTGGCAACAAGGATGCCTTCTCACCCCTCCCATCAAATCCTCACAAACCTTTTTGTATGATTTTCTCTCCGCCACCCCTATCCTGCACAAAAGATGGGGTACTTGTGTATTAAAAGCAACTGCCTGCCTCCTTTTGGCTCATCGCCGCTTTCCAAATCTGTTGCGGTTTTGCCTCTGCACTGTGCACGAGGCAGTCTTTCAGGCAGGTTTTGATGTTGCGGAGAACAACATTACAGCCAAAACAAGCATCGCTAAACAAAGGGAAAACATATTTAAGGAAAACCGAACCTAATTCCAGACACTGCAAAGGAAACTTAAAAATAGCAACTCTCCCCTCTCCCTTTGTTTTATTGAGACACCCTGAACAGCTACAGGATGCTTCTGGCCCTATAAAAATTCTCTTGGGAAGTCTTGGTGGTGTGTTTTGCTTACACTCATCTGACCAGTTACCATATTTGGCATTGGGAAGGAAAGTTCACCAGTGTCAGATTAGGACACCTCTGTATCTTTCCAAACAGGAAGTCATGTTATTGGCCAATGGGGCCAAGATTCCCATTCCTTGGAATGAAAGGGAACGCCTCGGTCCTTGCTGGAAAGTAGACTAGCCAGTGTAGAAGGTTAATTTTCTAGGAGGTTTGTGGCCCAGAGCAAGAGATTATCACAGTGACCACTTGCAAGGAGCCCATAACTAGGGATTGAAAGACTGGTCAGTTTCAGTTCTCTCATCTTCCAATCCCAGTTCTCCCGGTTTCTGGAGCAATTTGTTTTGTTAGAGAACTGTTTCACAAAATTCGGAGAAGTGCAAGTTTTGAAGGATAGCTGAATTTTGGCTGTCGTGTTGTTTCGGTGTCCTTAACGGCAAACTGAATCGAGTTTCCTATTTCTCCTGGTGACATGGCAGTAAACACTTACGCAGAGCTTTTAGGGCATAGCAACATAGAACGTTAAATGTTAAATGCATCATGGATATTAAATTATAGAAATTAGGGGTCCTTCCAGACAGGTGTGTATTGTGGGCTGACAAGTGCTCCTTGTGCATTCAACTTTTTGGCAGAGCCCTTGTGCATTCAACTTTTTGGCAGAGTCATTGGTATCAAAATGCCAGCCCCTGTTCCCCCTGTAATAATAATAATAATAATAATAATAATAATAATAATAATAATTTGGATTTCCCCATTCTAGGGTAAAACATCTGGTGGTGCTCTCCAGAAGTTGTTGGACTACAACTCCCATCATCCCTGACCACTGACCTTGCTGGCTGGAGGCTGATGGGCATTGTAGTCCAACAACATATGGAGTGCACTATGCTGCCTATCTTAGCCTAGAACCGTTTTTGTAACATTTAGAAAACAAGCATTTAGAAAAACCTTGCAGGCAGTAGGCACCCCCTCAGAAGCGTCTTTCTCCTTTCTTGCTCTTCTTAGATTATGACTGCTATATTATCGAAAAACATGGTACACTTTCCCTGCATCCGAATTATCATTATAGTTACTTGCAGTTGTATGCAGATTTTGCTGATGAACTCATCATCACATTGGCATTTATTTGTGTGCCCCTCCACAGGAGGTCTGGAGGGTGGCAACATGAGAATGGGCCTTTTCTGTGGTGACTCCCATTTTGTTGAATGCTCTCCCCCGGGAGGGTCACCTGGTTTCTTCATTGCATATCTTCAGGTGCCCAGCAAAAACATTTCTCTTCAACCAGGCCTTCAGCTGTTAATCAATTTATGGTCGTGTGTGGTGTGTGTGTGTGTGTGTGTGTGTGTGAGTGAGAGAGAGAGAGAGAGAGAGAGAGAGAGATTATCTTCTCCTCCTTTTACTCTTATTATATAATGTATCTTGTGTTTTATGCTGTAAACTGTCCTGTAGTCTCTTGATGAAGGGAAGTATATAAATTTAATTAATTGTGATAGCCGTGTTGAAAACCGACAAGTTTCAGAAGCCATTTCCAATGTCAAAGAGATGGGGAGCAGCCACTGAAAACAAAATAAGAAATGCCTATCCAAACACACTCAGAATCCTGGATCAAAGCCCAAAGTGTTTATATGTTGATTTGTTGAAAATAAAATATCATGCATCATCACATTCCCCATTCTTTGGGAAATTTTTGGAGAGCTGTGCCTTTGACCTGATGACTCTGTTTCCTTTTCCCAGAGAGCTTTGGGTGAAGGCTACCACCTTAAAAACAAAAGGAATGCCCCCTGTGTCTACACCCCACCTTCTCTTAAAGGTAAGGTAGCTTTGAATTGTTTGTGACTTACAGTTTTAAGTGTTAATGCAAAAGGGCTTCCTTCTGTCTGTCCTGAATCGCCCACCATTTGTCTTCATTGGATGCATCTGCACACATACACACAAAGTTCTGGAATTTAACACCTTTTAACTGTGTGTATATTGGGACGTGGGTGGCGCTGTGGGTTAAACCACAGAGCCTAGGACTTGCCGATCAGAAGGTCGGCGGTTCGAATCCCCGCGACTGGGTGAGCTCCCATTGTTCAGTCCCAGCTCCTGCCAACCTAGGAGTTCGAAAGCACGTCAAAGTGCAAGTAGATAAATAGGTACCGCTCCGGCGGGAAGGTAAACGGCGTTTCCGTGTGCTGCTCTGGTTCGCCAGAAGCAGCTTAGTCATGCTGGCCATATGACCCGGAAGCTGTACACCAGCGCCCTTGGCCAATAAAGCGTGATGAGCACCGCAACCCTAGAGTCGGCCACAACCGGACCTAATGGTCAGGGGTCCCTTTACCTTTTTAACTGTGTGTGTGTGTGTGTGTGTGTGTGTGTGAGAGAGAGAGAGAGAGAGAGAGAGAGAGAGAGAGAAAGTCCACTTGCAACTTCAGTCCATACATAATTCCCCAGAAAAACATTGACTGCAAATGCCACCATCTTCGCAATCTCTTCTTCTTCTTCTTCTTCTTCTTCTTCTTCTTCTTCTTCTTCTTCTTCTTCTTCTCCTCCTTCTCCTTCTCCTTCTCCTTCTCCTTCTCCTTCTCCTCCTCCTTCTCCTTCTCCTTCTCCTTCTCCTTCTTCTTTCTCACAGTTGCATGAAACTCCCTTGCTGCTACCCCTCCCTCAGTCACCCCCACACCCCCGTTCCCCAGGCTGCCGGGGAACTTGCAGTTCTAAGGAAACAGACTCCGCATGCACTTGATTTGGATATGCGAGGTGCCCCCTCTCTTCCCACCCTAGGCTTTTATTTTTATATTTTTTCATAAAGAGTTGACAACTCCATCTGCTCGGAAAGCTAACCATTCCACAGCAGCGAAGGTGACCTTGGGCACACAGAGAGAAGGGCTGGGGAAGGAAAGGAATATGTGTGGGCGGGCGGGTGGGTTATGCATGAACCAAACTTTGCATTACCTTGCGCCGACTTTCTTCGTTTCAGATGAACAGAACCAAGATGCCAGGGAGATGGGGTGACTCATAGCAGTGTATGTGTGTGCAGTATATAAAACGGGGAGGTGGGAATCTGATTTGGTCAGCAAGCCAGAACCTTATTCTCCCCTACCCCTTGATGGGTGGGCAGGGTCACCCACCTGTCAGTCACCCGATGATGTCACAATGGCATCAGGCGATGATCAAAGCTCTATGTGGTGCTTTGAAGCACTGTTTATCAACAGGCTTGAAGCTGCAAGAGTGATGACTTCAAGCATCCTTTTGGAAGGATTGAGTTGCCCCATGGAGAACTCAGCCCTGAAGCTGATGCAGCAGACTTTTAAGTCACCCATCAGGGTGGTGATTTCAGGACTACTTTCTGCAGGGATCAGCTGCACAGTCGAGTTCCCCATGTGAAGCTTGGTCGTACAGCCTGCCCTATGCCTGGTGCTACATATTATGTGGGCACGGTTTGGGCAAAACAGCCTCACAGGCCAAACTGGGACCTGTGTCAGGACAAAACTAGCCTTCAGGCTAGAGATTCCTCACCCCCATAGAAGACAGCTCCTAGTGGCTGAGGTCCCTTCAGCTCCCCCAATAAAATATTTGAGGGGGTCACCCCCCCATGTGGATGAGCAATGCTATTCAAATGGTGTGCCTGAACTGCGTCTTGTGATCAGTTACGCTGGGTGGGGCTTACCTGCCCCCCCTAATATTTTATTCAAGTTGGTAGCCCTGTTATGAACTATACTTCTCTGCATTTCTCCTTAAGCCATGCAGCTTTTAAATGCTCCAGCCAGAAACATATAAAAGTTTAGTTTCTTTCCAAAAGGTCACATTTTAAGGACAATCTGTTCCAAGCAAGGCCCAACTTGGAAGTGGAAGAGGATTAAATGACCTGCTCCCCTGCCAGTCTCTCAGTGGCTGTACGGAGGACAGTCCTCTGTTTGAAGGACTCGCAGAGGCTGTCCTTTCAAAGTCCATTTTAAAGATAAAGGGTCTTGAATTCGCTAGCACCTGAGCAGCAGCCCGAGCAGGTACACAGACCACCTGGCCTCAGTTTCCCCACCATAGTGAGATGGCTCAGTTGGTTATAACATGATGCTGACAAGCCCAAGGTTGCAGGTTCGATCCCCGAATGGAACAGCTGCATATTTCTGCATTGCTGGGGGGCTGGACTAGACAATCCTCAGGGTCCCTTCCAACTCTATGATTCCATGATGTTTTCTCTTTCTCTGTAAACAGAGTAATTATTTCTTCAATTGCATTTATGCACAAAAATCAACACATGCCAGTTTTATGCAAGTCTCCCTCTTTCTTTGTGTGTGATGCATTCCCACTTTTTTTTTTAAGAATAATTTTTTATTAACCGACCAATCACATCAAATCAAACCAAATTACATAAATTCCAAATTACACAGCCGAATTTTAAATTTTTGTTGGGGGTGCCCATATTTCAAGTTCCAAAGGGATCCAATCAACTTCTTGCTTCTTACTGCTGTTTTAATGTCCACAAATCTAACCTTATGATGTTCACAGTACTATCCAGTCCTTTCTTATTATTTTTCCACATCTCTTGTTGTTGTTTTCATATATTTTTCCTTTCTCTTTGTGACCTAGTGGCCCCCGATGCATTCCCATTTTTTAAGCAATGTGTGAGCAGCTTCTTCCAGCAAACAAATATATAGATATGAAAATGTTGGGAACTCGGAACTGTATGCGATTAATGACACGCAAAATCTGAGCCAGAGAGTCCTCGATTTGAGATTAATTCATAACGCTGGCCCGGATCCCTTTAAGTGGGTGCTTTGTTTCAAATGCCTTAAGTCAGATATACCCCAAACACTATCAGGCTCCTTTGGGGTAGATGTTGGTATCAAGAAAAGGCCACTGAAAATTAACGGCAAATTACCATGATCAGGTTTGTCCTCCACAAAAGTTGAGCCTCCAAGTGCCCCTATTTTCAGGGACAGTCCTGGATTTTCAGAAGCCACCACGGTTTCTGATTTGATCCTAGAATGTCCCACTTTTCCTTAGCACGTCCCTATTTTCATCAAAGAAATGTTGGCTGATATGCATTTTGAACATACCAGGAAGAGGTTTATAATCAGTGTGACTCCCTCCCACAGTAGATGCAAAAGTAAATGGCCCTTCTTGGTCATCAGTGATACTTGCATTACATATTTCATCAAGGAAATATCCACTTTGAAATCATTGCATAAAGTCTCCCTCACTAGAGCATATTCTGGCATTGTTTAAAAACCTCCCACCCAAGTAGGGATCTGAAGGCTGAAAGTAAAGCTTGAGTTTGACTTGAGTAATCCTTGGCTACCTTGGGAAGGAAATAAACACAGGCCTTCCATTTTGAGTGGGAGAACCAAAGAACTCTGGTTTGCAGCTACATTTAACAGCGATGCAATGAAACCAGAGTCTGTTGAAACTAACATCAAGGTCACTGCTGAGGAAGGCCTCTCTTTGCTGCTGCCTTCCAAAATATAACATTAACACAAACAGCTGACGAGGATCACAGATGCTGGTTTCTTGAAAGCGCAATACCTGGAATTTCTGGAGGTATTCCAAACACTTCTTATTACCTACTTTACACAGAGAAAGAGAGAGACACACACACATTAAGTGTCAGTTTGTCACTGCAGTTCCTTCCAAGCTCTGGGAGCCAGACTCAATTTAAATTATGTTTAAACTCGCTGTCGGTCACATTAGGAAAACATGTTATTGGCGTCACAGTTAAGCCAAGTGTTGGTCCCTGAGCATACATTAACATCGCAGTCTCCTGGGCCATTTATCCCTGGCATGCTGATATTGTGCACACAAATGCCAATGACCCAGTTCATATGTGATTCTGAGCACATGGAACACCATACAGGTAAGGTTTTTCTAAAACATGCCCCACATTGTACTAGAATTGAGCCTCGAACCTCCAACACCTTGTACTTCTGATTGTGCATTCCCCAGTGCTGCCGATATCTATGCAGCAGGAGGCTGCCACTGACTTCTTACCACCGACTTTTAGTTCTCACTGTGTCAACTTTCAACAGAGAGTCCTTACTCATCCCTTCACAAAAGCAAGCCCTTTCTTTTTCGCTTTGACACATCACCTGGTAGAAATAAAAGGCAGCCGGTCGAAGCATGGATGTACGCACACATGCAGAGCTTTCGATCCAGTCGTTTGCATTTTCCAGTTTTAGCACTAAGGTCAGCAGCAAGAACATCCACTCTCCCCCACCCCCTGAGTGACAAGTGGCGCTAACTTCCCAAACGGAGGTTGGAAGCGCCAAGGCAGTTGGAGGCCAATGTGTTTGACAACAAAGCCCTATTTAAAGACCTTCCCTTGTGCTGCGTTCCTCTTCCCACAATCTGCTGTTTGTGTCATGAGCGCTGCCAATAATCGGCAGCGTTTCCTGCAGAACGCAGCCTGGAGAGGAGGGCGTCCCAGGAGAAAGGGAATGGCCGCAGCAGGATTCTCGACTCTCTCCAAGGCTCAAGGCCACTTTTGGGTGGTGATGGGGAGGGCAGGGAGGGAAGAACTTGTAACGAGGGCTGCACCAGGAATTCTCTATCCAACTTTGGGTGTTTGCATCATTTCCCACTTTAATCTGCCTTTCTCAAAGAGGAACAACTGAAATGAACATAGGAATGGGGAAATCAAAAGAGTTTTACCTATATAGAAGTTAGGCCGAGCAGAGTACATGAGAGTGCGCTAATATTTTTGCAAGACGATTACTATATTATTAGCTAAGATTACGATTGCAGGTGCCACCGGACTGTCAGTAATTTGCAGACAGGATTCAAGAGTGTGATACGACATTGGTTTGTGCAACTGAAGTAGATGAAAGAGCTCTGGACCCCCTTCAAATGTCCTTTGTATTGTGCATTCATGGAGATTTCTGCTCATGATAGTATTGGGGCAGTTGTACACCAACCCACTTTCAGTATAGTTTGTGCCTGCAGATGTTTTGGGTGAAAATAGGCCTTTTGCTCCAATCGGGACATGTCCAGTAGCTTTCTGCTGAAATCCTGCAACTAATAATAATAATAATAATAATAATAATAATAATAAATGTTCTGGGGTGGGAGAGGGAATGTCCTCTTTTCATTGCACTATAGCGCAGGAGTGCCCTTCCAGACCACAATAATCCAGCAATGCCGTGGTGGCATTGCGTAGCAAAAAAAAAAGCTGAATGATGTGTGGACAGTCCAGTATAAATCCACCACCAATGCAGTATTATTGCATCCAGGACATGTGGCAAAATACTGTACTTATGCAAAAGCAAATCCACTAGAAGTTTGTTTTGCCATGCAGAAAGATGACAAGGAAATGCATTGAAAGGTGTGGTTTGACACAGTGACTAACAGGAAAACTTATAAAGACCCCGCAAGCAAACCCGAATGAATGCTCGTTGTCATCCAGCCACCCTGAGGACAGATTAGATCAAATGTTCAACAAGGACTGGCAAACCCCCGCATAGCTCAGTTGGGTAGAGCATGAGGCTCGTAATTTCAGGGTCGTGGGTTCAAACCCCATTTGGGGCAAATGATCCCTGCATGGCAGGAGATTGGACCAGATGATCCTCATGGTCCTTTCAACTCTATGATAAGTTCTGTGGAAGCAAATAGGGATGAATGCCAGACATTGTACATGCCTTTAAACTGGGGCAGGGAGCTGCGGCCCTGGGAGGGGTCTGGATGTGGCCCTTCAGGCCTCTCTGGGAATTCTCTCCAGAAAGAGAAGCTCACTTTGGTTTGAGCCAGTGCAGTTTTTAGATAGGTGCCTGGGTCGTGTCATGGGTCGAAGGTTAAGTCCCATCTCACAGGCAGTGGCTCCATCGGCCGTAGATGGCTGGTGCCGCAAACCTGACTGGTGTTAGGCGAAGGAGTAAATAGACTGGGCTGATAGATGAAGCCAGAATTGGGGGGCTGGGGGCTGGAGATGAGCAGTGTTTGGAGTGCACATGCCCCCGGTACTGGAAATGTGCTGCCTGTCAGAAGAATGTGAGAAACGGCATGCCAGAATGGTGTGTGTGTGTGTGTGTGTGTGTGTGTGTGTGTGTGTGTTTCACATCCTTCCTGTTCTCCGACAGGGAATGCTCACTGCCAGTTGCTCGCCCCCCACAAAGTGCTGCACTCATCCATTTCCCGTCAGCCTTTGCTCTCATCATCACTCCCCCGCACCTATTGTTCGCACCTGTCTTTCTCTAATTCTCTTCTTCTTCTCCCCCCTCCCAAAGCTATTTGATCTTCTGAGGGGGAGTTGGCACATTGCCTTCCCACACATACCTAAAGCTTTTACATTGTTTCGTGGCTGCTGCTTTTAAAGGGGCTCTTATCTCTCCTTCCCTCCCAGGGAGAACTGGGGTGCGGGTAGGGGGGAATCTTGAGGCCTGCGGTGGAAGTAATGAGCTGTACACAGTCTTGCACACAGCCAGGCTTGTCCGCTCTCCCTTGATTTGGCAGGGATGGAAAAGATAAAATGCAGGGTGGTGGGGAGCTGGAGAGCTCACCCGCTTCTCCCCTGAAAAAGCGGTGTCTAGGAACCATACATAGTCACCTAGCAGTACTGCTCCCTAATCCCTTTTTTATAGTTAAAAGTAGCTGTGGAAGCCTGAATTAGATTGGAAGAACTGCTTAACCCTTTGCATTCCAGCCATTTCCCGCACTAACCCCCCCCTTCCTCCCCACGGTTGCTTTCCCATTCACGTGGTGGGGAGGGGAAATGATATAGGCGCCTGTCTTCCCCTGCCCCATGGGCACAGGTGGAAATGCCTGCAGATTAGCTCAGAGCATGAGACTCTTCATTCCAGAGCCATGGGTTCGAGCCCCATGTTGGGGGGAAACAGATTCCTGCATTGCAGGGGGTTGGACTAGATGACCCTCGGGGTCCCTTCCAACTCTACAGTGCTACGATTCTATGAAAAGCAAAAGGTGACCAATGCATAATAAGAAAGGATTAAGCACCTCCTCTGCCCTGCTACTCCGTAGATCAGTGATGGACAGACTTGGCCCTCCAGCTGTTTTGAGACTACAACTCCCATCATCCCTAGCTAGCAGGACCAGTGGTCAGGGATGTTGGGAATTGTAGTCCCAAAACAGCTGAAGGGCCAAATTTGACCATCACTGCCGTAGATCAAACATGCTGCCAACCTCCCAAAGTATTGTATAGCCATATAGCATTTTGCTTTGCCTTAGTAGCATTCTTCAAGCTGTTGCTGACAGGACCCAGGTCCCTGGCTGGCTCTCTCTGCTGTGTTTACATCCCTGTCTTCCTTTGAGGTGTGGCATATATTATTCTCCCCATCTAAGCAGCTTACAGGGCAAATACCCGGATGGCTGCCAGAATTAGGGCAGGCCCACCTGCCTCCCCAGGGCATGAGTGACAGCAGTATAAGTGGAATTTATGTCTTTGTGTGCATGGTACTCTCCAGAATACAAGAGGAAAGGGCATGTTCACATTACTGCTTCCTCCGCACCCAGCGCGTTTAATTTTTGAAGCCGCACTCACACGGCATTAGCCACAATCCGTATCAATCCTGTAGTTTCTAGTGGGGTAGGAGAGAGCTGAAAAGAAATTCACATCTGGCAACCAATGCACCCCTTTGTTTTCAGATAGCACATGGGTAGACGAGTCTAAAAAGCCCAGAACACAAATTTTCATGGCTCTCCATCAGCTATGGTGGCTCAGTTACCAGAAGTAATTTATTTAGCGTTAACTTTGGAAGTACATTCTCAATTCTCACCAAACTAAGCCTCTGAATGTATATTTTGCTCTAGGAGGCTTAAGGATACTTTTAGGCAAACTAAGATTCTCCATACTTTATTTTAAGGCTTTGGGGGCAAATGCAAAAGAGGACAAGGCCCTTGCACCTTCCATAGCTGTGCTGAAGGTGGGATTTCAGCCAGACAAGCAGACGTTGGGGAAGTTCCCTCTTCTGCAAAACTATTCCCTGTCACATCTGGACACTCTGCTTTGCATGGGTATCTTTTCGAGCTCATGTTGCCCTGGCTTCTATCTAGTCTTGGTCACCCCTGTCCTCAATAGCACAGTCATGTGGGGGAACACCCTTTCTGCAGACTTTGCAAAAGCCTGCTGTCAATGGAGGGATGTGGTCTTGTAATCTTAGCTCCATGCGCCCTTTGTCCCTGCCCAATGCAAACACAAGTAACTCTAAGTCCTCCCTACAATGCACAAATCTGGGATGTCGACATGAGCCTTAAGCTTATGTTCTGACCCACAAGCAAGCTGCAGTTTCCCCTTCACAGAGCTACAATTCCCAGCACCCTTTACACTTCCCAGAATTATTTGGGGGTAATTGTACCTTAAATGGGCTTTAAATTATGGTGTGGATCTGCCCTACAGCCCTTCTTCTCCTGCCTGCCCTAGGGCTCCAGTCATTGGCCAGATAAGCTGGTTTTTAAAACAAAAACAACCCCTCTCCACCCCCAGCAACCTCCATCAGGATGGCAGGTGGATTTCCACACTGTTAGGGTAAATAAACTACTTGGCTAAACACAACCCTGTCCCTTTCAGTCGAAGGATTTGGTTTTGGTTGGAGAGCCAGTGTGGTGTAGCGGTTAAGAGTGGTAGTCTCCTAATCTGGGGGACCGGGTTCGCGTCTCTGCTCCTCCACATGCAGCTGCTGGGTGACCTTGGGCCAGTCACACTACTTTGAAGTCTCTCAGCCTCACTCACCTCACAGAGTGTTTGTTGTGGGGGAGGAAGGGAAAGGAGAATGTTAGCCGCTTTGAGACTCCTGAAGGGGAGTGAAAGGTGGGATATCAAATCCAAACTCTTCTTCTTCTTCTTCTTCTTCTTTTCAGATTTATACATTTCACTCATGAACATGAACATGAAATTTATTACTGTCAGAGACCAGCTTGAGAAACACAAAGGGAACTGCAATCCCAAAAGCAAAACAAACATTTAAAACAATATACAACAATGGATTTTAAGTTTAAAGGTGTGAACACCTTTTAAGTTTAAAGGTGGAAACACATAAAAAATTTAAAATAGACTACCTTAGAGAAATGAGTGCAGCTATATATCTCTCGAGTTCTACAATTTTGTAGTCAGGGCACCTTAAGCAGTCCTGTTGTCTCTCGGTGTCTATAATTCTTTGCCTAACCATTGCTTTTGCTTGGCCCAAGCCCGGTCTTAGAAGGGCTTGAGCAGTCGAAGGATTGCTGAGAAGCGATATGATGGCCACCTTCAAATATCTCAAGGGCTGTCAAATGGAAGTTGGAGCAAGCTTGTTATCTCCTGCTCTGGAAGGTAGAATTCAAACCAATGGATTCAAGTTACAAGAAAGGAGATTCCAATTAAACTTCAGGAAGAACTTTCTGGCAGTGAGAGCTGTTTGACAGGCGAAGGGCCTCCCTCGGAAGGTGCTGGACTCTCCTTCATTGGAGGTTTTTAAGTAGAGGCTGGATGGCCACCTGCCATGTATAATCTGGTTGGGATTCCTGCATTGTAGGGGGTTGGGCTGGATAACCCTCAGGGTCCCTTCCAGTGTTGCAATTCTATGATCTTACCATAGTGTGGAATACAGAGCACATGACCTGTGTGGCTGCTCAGGCTGCTGACCAGCTGCTAACTGCAGATGGGCAACTTCAAGGTCTCTCCTGCTCCCCTCCTTCCAATGGTTCTTTAGGTTTAAACCAGACTGGGATCAGGCAGCCCTTCAAATAGAGGACTATACTCTTTAAATTAGGACACATAGCCACCCTAACTCCACCATATATGCAAACTTCCAATTTCAGCCCCCCACCCCCCTGCCAAAACCATAGCTGATGAATGATGAGGTCTAAAGCAGGGGTCAAGCAACCTTTTTCAGCCATGGGCCAATCCACTTTCCCTCAGACCATGTGGTGGGCCGGACTATATTTTTTGGGGGGGGGGGGGATGAATGAATTCCTATGCACACATTCTGCTCATGTAAAAACACCAGGCAGGCCCCACAAATAACCCAGAGATGCATTTTAAATAAAAGGACACATTCTACTCATGTAAAAACATGCTGATTCCCGGACCGTCTGCTGGCTGGATTTAGACGGCAATTGGGCTGGATTCGGCCCACGGGCCTTAGGTTGCCAACCCCTGGTCTAAAGTATGTTTGACCTTTGGTAAACAAACAGCAGGGCTTGTGTAAAGGAATGCAAAGGAAGGTGTGTCTGCAAAGAGGGTACGAAGAGGAAAAAGTTGACACTACCAAATAAAAAGCCTCTTCTCAACAAGGAAAAGATTGTCTTCCTCTCTCTCCCTTGTGGTTATTTTTCTTCCCCAAACAAGGCGAATCACATTCCTCACTGAGGACTAGGTCCCTGCCAAGTTTATTGAACAAGGAAACCATTTTCCCCCTTTGTGCAAACTTTTCTATAGAACTTTAAGCCAGTTCAGGTGATGTGGGAAAATTCCCGCCCTACCCTGCGTGCCTGTACTTTCTCAAAGAACTAATCTCTTCTTTTTCTAAATAAATGCACATTGATGTTCTTTTGATCCCATCAAAACCGAAGTTTCGTCTGTCAAATGTTAAGGTGCTCTTATTGTGGGCAGTGTTTCAAATTATCGCCTTCAGAGGTTCTGTGATTGAAAAAGGGATGAGGTAAAAAAAAAAAAACTTGCTGATCGGACTTTTCAGCTGCCATGGAATGTTTAGGGACATTCTGAATGCTGAGGGTGAAGGTGCCAGATATAGAATTATTTATAACACTGTGGTATCTCTGAGAAAACTGAAAGGTCGTTTTGGCTTGGGGGGGGACGTTGCAGTGCCCAGGGTCAGGGAACGGTGAATGTTTCTGGCAGCAGGGCAAGAGTAGGAGGAGAGACTGGGTTATTAATGAGATTATGTCTGCTTTGAGGTTTGTCAGTTTTAACAGACCTGCAGATGTGGAAGCTGCAGCAGTGGTTTCTCTTGCTCCTCCTCCCGCTCAGTCCCTTTACCCCATGCTCTGCTCCCCTCCAGCCAGATGAAGCAAACATGCTGCTTCTGTGGCCCCCAAAAAGCTGGAGGGGAGGTTGGGCAACAGGATTCGGTAGAGAGTGGGGAGGAATGGAGCAACATGGCCACAGCTTTTTGTACAGTTCTGGATTTGCCAAAGAAACAGGCATGATCTTAGGCTTGTACGACCTAGGACCCCACAGTCCTGGATTTACAGTTTCTGATTTGATCCTCCAATGTCCCGCTTTTCCTTAGGATGTCCCGATTTTCATCAGAGAAATGTTGGAGGGTATGGAGTTATGCAACCCCCTTTAGAATACATCTGTATAGGAAAGTTTTTTTTAAAAAATGTTTAATGTTTTAATATGTTTTAATATATGTTGGAAGCCCCACAGAGTGGCTGGGGCAACCCAGTCAGATGGACAATGTACAGATTATTATTATTATTATTATGGAATAGGATGTCCCTATTTTCATCAGAGAAATGTTGGAGGGTATAAGCATGTCAGGGAGAAGGCTAGCTAGAACCTTCACCCTGACATGAAGGGACATTATTATTATTATTATTATTATTAATAATAATAATAATAATTCACTCCCATGGACCTCTCCACCTATACTCTGAAGGTTCACCATCTCATTGACTCCAAGGCAGATGGTTCTGTGAGGTCAGCCAGGTGATATGTATTAGATTTCATACATTTATTTCGACCCACTGGCCTTTTTAAAAAATGTTAATGCTAATTAAAGCAGGTCGCTTTAATAAATTCTGGCGATTCATGCAAAATTTATGCAGACATTTTACTTCCTACTAGGGTGGGAACTTAACACATTGTGTTTTGTTTTGTTTTTTAAAAGGAAATTCAGCACCAAGAAGGGAACAAGGACATGGATTTGCACATGCTAATACATATATAAAATATACCTTCAATAGAAAATACATCTCACTGGGGTGGGAGAGACTGTGTCTAGGTACCTGCTGTGAGCCTGCTCAGTCTGTTTTTTCAGGTGTTCACTATTGATAGGCTATTTCAAGGCCTCCTTATAATGATAGCAGGAGAAGGTTGCTTTGAGTGGATGGAAATCTTCCAGAGTTGCTAAACACAGCAGGAGACCTGAGAGGCAAAGGGCAAGAGGGGGAGAGGAATAAAAAAACATGCAGGGTTTGGAATCTGGGTGGGCTGAGTCTTGCCAGGGGAGGTTGTAAGGATCAAGAGGAAGGAAAGAGGATGATAACTGAGGACTAGGGGAAAGAGGTTGATGTACCCAGAGGATCTCCCTTAGCTGCAGTTGTGAGTCTAATGCAGGGCTGCTTCAAGATGGGAGTCAGGAGCAAGACAGTAGTAATTCACAAGGTGTCAGTGAAGTTAAATTCATTATTTGAGGTTCTCCAGTTCCAAACTCCCATTTCTCTCTGAGCGCTCCTAAGCAAATCTCACCTGCCAAATTTTCGATCTTTGACAGCTGTGCAGCGCCTAGCGCAAAGCCATTTGGAATCCAACAGTTCCTGGATGGATGACGACTACCCTGAGGATGTTGAGGAGGACGAGGAAGATGAGGACGAGGAGGAGGAAGAGGAAGAAGCTCAGGATTCAGATGACACCGTGAGGGAGATGCCCGGCCTTTGCAAGCCCGGGGGTAAGCAATGACAATAGCAAGCAGACACATGAGGGGGGGGGAGACTGTGGTGCCAGCAGGGGGCAGCAGAGAATACCCATCTTGCGCTTGGCATGGCTGGGCCTGGCAGCTTCTAGGTAGCTCCTACAGCGGATGAGTCACATGTCTATTTGTTCTGAAGCCATTGTGTTGGTTTATTAAAGCTATTACCTGCGCAGCACCATCGTAACACAGTCGTTGCATTTGCTCTCTTTGGTCAGTATAGTATGAATGGATAGGGAAGGGAAGGAAAAGGAGAAAGGAATAACAAAACACATTACACTGTAGGAGCCCACACCAAAACCAGGGGGGAGTATTTTCTGAGAATTGCAGAAAATTGTTTTGCGCTGCCTTGAGTCTAAGCACCATAGCAAAGGAAAGGAAAGTTTAATCATTCATCCGAAACCACAACAGAGAAAAGGATATGCCTAGATTATGTTCCATAGGAAATGTAAATATATATAAACAGCCCTTCAGACTGAAGGCCCATCTAGCTAGTCCAACATCCTGTTTCGAGCCACATGCTTCCGGGAAGCCTGCAAGTGGAGTATGGAAGGGCCAGCTTAATAACAAATCGTTTTCCAAGCCTAAAATAGATGAATACTTCCCCACTCTCTGCCTGCACTGCTACTGGCAACAGGAAGCAGCCCAGCTTTCATCTGCAACAAACACGGATGTCAGTGCTGCTGGGATACAGAGAGGGATGAGTTGACCACTCCAGCTTCCATGTTTTCCCCTTCCCTTCCCTTCCCTTCCCTTCCCTTCCCTTCTCTTCTCTTCTCTTCTCTTCTCTTCTCTTCTCTCTAGCAAACTTCTTGCCTTCGTGGTTGCAGCAGGAAAGCCCACTTCCCAATATACAGTGGTACCTCGGGTTAAGTACTTAATTTGTTCTGGAGGTCCGTTCTTAACCTGAAACTGTTCTTAACCTGAAGCACCACTTTAGCTAATGGGGCCTCCTGCTGCCGCCGCGCCGCCAAAGAACGATTTCTGTCCTCAAACTGAAGCAAAGTTCTTAACCCGAGGTACTATTTCTGGGTTAGCGGAGTCTATAACCTGAAGCGTATGTAACCTGAAGCGTATGTAACCTGAAGCGTATGTAACCCGAGGTACCACTGTATAGGGAGAATCTACTGGAAGTTCAAATTTACGTTGCTCCATCTCCCCAGAATCCAGTCCTTGTAAGCCAAGTCTAGATCTTAACTGCCTAGCCTTATGGGTGCAGGTGTGGACCCATCCCCTATGACTTTGCCTCCCGCCCGCTCCTTGCCAAGCATTTCCCAGTTTGTTAAAAAGCTAAATTTTGCACGCAGAATTAAATATGCAAAGATAACCAGCACAGACCTCAAAATATACATCGTCCCCAATACATCTGAGGTTAGTCATCGCAGTCCCCCTGCAACTGGGGGAATGAATTAGCCATGACTCACTTGGGTTCCGCTGCTCAGCCATGACTCACTTACCTGGATCAAGGCCATCATCTGCAAAGTGAATTTGAAATTCATCATTTGGGTTTCTTCAACCCAAAACTTGGCTTTTTGTGGCAACTGAGAGCTGCATGCATGCTGCCTTCCTCCTCTAAATCCTACCATCGGGACTTTATTCACGAAATGCATAGTTCTTCCATTCATTGCCAAATAATTTAGCGCTTGCCTTCACTGTTGGTTGCTCTTAAAAGGATAGGATATATTCATAGGGGGCAGGTCTAGTAGCCACGACAAGCCAAATGGAACCTCCACAATTCAAAGCAGTACAGTGGTGCCTCGGGTTAAGTACTTAATTCGTTCCAGAGGTCCGTTCTTAACCTGAAACTGTTCTTAACCTGAAGCACCACTTTAGCTAATGGGGCCTCCGGCTGCTGCCGCACCGTCGGAGCACAATTTCTGTTCTCATCCTGAAGCAAAGTTCTTAACCCAAGGTACTATTTCTGGGTTAGTGGAGTCTGTAACCTGAAGCGTATGTAACCTGAAGCGTATGTAACCCAAGGTACCACTGTATACCTCTGCAGGTTGTTGGGGGGAAATAGCAAGCGAAGGCCCAGCTGCTCAGTTGCCTACTTTTGACTTCTCAGGGATATCTGGCTATCTGCTGCTGCAGATACGCCATGTCTAATCCAGTGAAGCAGCGATGTTCTTAATCAGAAACACCAAAGAGTCTTGTGTCACCTTAAAGACTAATGCATTTATTGTGGCATTTGCTTGAAGGCTTATTCCATACTGAATCCATCAGCCTTCAAGGCTCTTGGCTTGTTGTTTTTTGCTGCAATAGTCTAAACACGGCTGGTCTCCTTGGAAGTTCTTAATCAAGAAACTGGCTTCTGCCATCATAATGGCACTGCTATTTTTTTAAAAAAAAAGTTTTGCAAGTTTTGGCAACCCCTGTAATTTTGCTAAATTCCGAACTATTGTTTCAGACATTTCTTTTCACTCCACGTCAAAAAAAAATAAAATCAAATTATAATTCTCCGCTTTGGCATTTATCCTCCCCTACTCCCAAGTCTTGGTTGAAAGATAGAATTCCTTCCCCTGACTTCTCCCCATTTCTGCTGCCCACCCCCCAAGATAAAATGCATTTTCTTCAGCCTGAGGTGATAGCTCAAAGGGTGCTCTGGAGAGCAGGGAGGGGCTGGTTCTCGAGGTCAAGTCGTTTCTCAAGCAGGTGGGCTGTTTCCATGGCAATGCTCTTCTATTTAAAGGGCTTTCTCCCGCTGTTCGCCATGTATCCCACTCGCTGGGGGGTTCGCTGCATGTACTGAATACATTTCCCTTCATTTAGCACCTCTGCTGTCAGGGAGAAACCTGTAAATGGTTCCTCCTCCCCCCCCTCCCAACTCTCTCTCTCTCTCTCTCTCTCTCTCACACACACACACACACACACACACACTCCTTATCCCCAGTATGGGGAGAAGCTGCTAGTCTCCTAGGAAACCATCTTCCTCAGCAGGAAAGAGCTGTGAGATGGGAGAGGTGGCATCTATACAAGGCATCTTTCTCTCTCCCGCCTCCAGACCCTTCTGTCCACAAATTCACTCCCTCTTGCTATATCAGAGCAAAAGGTCTGGAGTTTGGAGGGGTAGTTGCTAGGTGTCCGGCAGTTTTTAAAAAAGCATTTCAGATCATCATGAAATTGTGGCCACATAGAGCCTCTTTCAAACTGCAGAGGGAGGGCATGGGGAAAGCGAAGAGGAGGATGGTGCCAAGTTGGTACGTGGATGTGGCTGGGGTTTATAAGATCCTAGCGGGAGCTTTGTGATCACACAGGCTGTGTCTACACACACACATTTACTCTGCGTCTAGTGGGCTCCCATCCCAAGTTTGGGAACTGGCGTACATATAACATTAGCCACAATTCATATTTCCTGCAACATCTTGTGAAATGCTGTGCTGGATGTGTTCCCCCTGACCAAAGCAGCTGCAACCTGAATAAAGGGGGAAAGAACCACCTAACCGTGTTCTGCGCCAGTGATGTGTTGACAGCATCAGTCTGGGCAACCACAGGGACTGGAAACTTGGTTTCTTTTTTCTTTTCTTTTCAAAATGCTGCCGCACAATTAGTTTTTCGTGTCGCGCCAGCAGTATGTACAGGGCATTGAAAAGGCAATGGTGTTTTTGGGTCTGGCTGAGATGGCAAAGTTAACCTGTTTAATTAGAGAAAAATCATTATTGGCATCTGTTAAGCACCGGAAATTTCGTATGGGCTTTTTGTGCGAGAAAAGAAAGCGAACTTGTAATATCTGGATTTGAAGATTGAAAAAAGACTGGTTTGTAGATGATAGAATGGTTGGATTTTAAGGAATGGATATTATATGTTGCTGCAGGACAGAGACCTGGAAGTCTTTTGACTCCTTTCTGTCTTTCTTTAGTTTTTCCTTTCTTTCCCTTTTTCTTTTCTTCAGTTCTCTCCTGTTCTTGTCTTTTATTCTTTCTGACTTTGTTCTTTTTTTTTTGGCTAAGTAGCTATTTTATCTAAGTATATTATGAAAAGACACCTTGTAATGGAGTTGTGTTTTTGTATATCTATGAATAAGTATCAATAAATAAGTTAGTATACGAAAAAAGAAAAAGAAAAGATGTTTTGACCATGTCTTCCTTTCCCAACTCATATTTCTTTATTGTCTATCACAGCATCCCAGTTGGGCCCAGCTTCCAAGGCAGCCTTGCTCAGGCAATGCACTGGTAAGAAAACACCTTCCTCTCATGTCAGATCTGCGTCCTAGCAATCTATCCAAGAGTTACGTAATCAGAGCAATCAGCACTGGCGCTGTCCAAAGTCAAACAGCCCTGTGGGCTTTGCAGTTGTGTAAAAGAGGGATTCTCTTACCCTTTCATGATAAACTGCATGTGCCAAATAGTCTTGCAGACTATTGTGAAAGTTTCAGGAGGCTCTGCCCATCTTTCTTTCTTCTGGTTGCCTTAATCGGAACTCATGAGAGCTCTGGTTAAATAGCAAACAAGCAAGGAGACTTCCGGTAAAGATGGCGTCAGGTCAGAAAGTTGGCTCACACAATTTTAACCAATTTTCAATTGGTTTTAACCAATTATTTTATCAACCTTTTCATAACTTGGAACAAGCAAGGAATGCCTGCCAGTCTTACAAGGGAAATTCAGGAGGTGCCAAATCTACATCAAGTGTATTAAACTTACAAATTGAATACGCAAGATGTATATAGCATTCCATGCAGAGGCATAACTAGGGTCCCTTGTGCCCTTGGCAAGGACCTGTATTGGTATTCTCCTCCCCCCAAAAAAATCTCTTTACCGCAATATCCACATTAAATGACAACATTTAATGCGACCCAAGTACGCAAAGCGTCCAGAGTGAGGGCGAGGCAAGGAGGAAGGGCCTAAAAATTGGCACGTCTTTGTGCCATGGTGTGAGAAGGATGGGAAACCTTTCCTGGGTTTATCTCTCCACACCAGAAGCAGCACTGCGCCACACACATATTCATCATACCCCGCATAGTCTCCATCTACCTTCATACCACCCTGCCACTTTCCCTACCGCTCAGCTCCCAGCTTACACAGATAGCTGAGGCAGGGAAGAGAGGAGATCTCTTGGGTGTTATTAGTCCCAGGTTCATAGGGACAGGAGCCCAGCAGGAGTGGCAAGGGAGAAGGATGTCAAAGAGCTGAGCCGCTCAATCAGCAGATATATCTATCCCGAGATTATACACCCCTTAGATGCAGCTCAGGAATGGTGTGCTTGAATGTTTCACCATACCCACCCAAAAAATCCCAAACCCACATAGAAAAATGTAACATCCACTTCTCCATGACTATATATGGTAGTACTCTTACATGCATTTCCCATCTGTACTCTGAAAGTGGTACAGTCTGGCTGGAGCTGTATTATGTGTCCAAATATATCTCCTTCTGATCCGCATCTTAGATGTCAGCACTTTGATAGAATGCTAGATTGCTGCTTTCCACACATGTATTGCATTCACTGGGAATTGTGTGGGTGTGACATGTTAATTTACTTCTGTTATCCTTGGCTCTTAATAATTTGCTTTTCCCCCTCCATCACTAAATGATCTGTGCATATACTCGCAGTGTTTTTGACATCGACCGCCTGCTTTTTCTTTTAAAGCACAGAGCAGCGCTCATGGGGCTCCATCACAGCACTGACCTTAGCTTCCGCAGCGCTACAATATCAAGTGCTCCCAGATTGTTCATTGGTCCATATGTTTGTGTGTGTGTGTGTGCCACCTTCTCACTGTTCGGTGTGCATTTGGCAACGCTGGCTGTTGCTTATGGTCCTTCCAGATACGGGCTTAATACTGCGAAAGATTGTTGTTGAGGGATTGCTGCAAAAAAAACAACAACCAACAACTTGCATGTGTGAGGAGCACTGATCCCACAATAAATGTATATCTGGAAGCACCCTTGGAGAAGATTGTGTTGCTATAAAACCAGTTGAATCACAAAGATGCTGCAGCCTCTGTTATCCTACCTGATAACGTTGCTGCTGGATGCCTCCAGATTTAATCCAAGACATAACAAGAAGGCCGCATCATGTTTAATTGGAACACACACGTACATGGTCTTCAGACTAGCGAAAGAAGCACACAGGCAGAGGAGACAACATACAAACTCAAACACACACAACGGGGCATTTGTAGGTAGTGACATTTTCTCTCTCCTTTTTCCTCTTCAATCACCATCACGGCTGCCTGAGAAGTCTTGGAAAACAAGCCCAAAGAATCTGAGCATCCCATCTATCCTGCACTCTCCAAATCACAGAAACGGAAAGGTAAATGTTTGTGCGACAACTGCAGGGCTTAAGTGGGATTTATCACTCGGGTTATATGGGCGAAGGCAAAAAGCCTTTGAGAGTTAAAGATGGCATGGCAGCAGCAGCATTGCCCACGGGGGGCATACTTTGTTGTTGTTGTTGTTACCACCCCACCATTTTCCGTGACAGAACTCAAAAGAGCTTACAGATAAAAATAAGAACCACTAAAAGCATAGGGGGGGAAATCATTAAAAAAACAATTAAACATTGATATATTACAACTATATAATATATAAAACCTGTTAAAACCATATGAATAATTACAATAAAAACAGCACAGCATCAGCCCTTTCATTCAAAGCAGTCAGTTCCCAAAAGCCTTTTGGAACAAGAAAGTCTTCACCTGCTGGCAGAAGGACAACAAGGAAGGAGCCAGTCTAGTTTCTCTAGGAAGGGAGTTCCAAAGCCTGGGAGCCACCACCAAGAAGGCCATCTCCCACGTCTCTCCCAAGTGCCCCCGTGAGGTGACAGGAGCAAGAGAAGGGTCTCCCCTGAAGATCTCAAAACCCAGCCAGGTTCGCCTGAGGGAATAGAGTCCTTCAGATAGCTTGGACTGAAGCTGTGTAGGGCTTTATAAGTCACAACCAGCATTTTGAATTGTGCCTGGAAACCGACGGGTAGCCGGTGGAGTCGTACGCTCCATACGACAAGCCCAGGTAAACAATCCGGCTGCAGATCTTTGAGCCAGCTGAAGTTTCTGAGCACTTTCCAAAGGCTGCCCCACAAAGAGCGCGTTACAGTAATCCAAATGGCATGTAACTTAAGTCGTGCATCGCCGTGGCCAAATCAGATAGCTCAAGAAGCGGGCACAGCTGGCTGTGCACGAGAAGATTATGCAGGATTCTGATGCTCTAAAAAAAAAAAAAACTTTTGAAAGCTGCGAACAATGGCAGTGGTGGGCAACTCTCTCTCTCTCTGCCTTATCACTGTCATCTGCCTGTAGGAACTCTTGTCCTTCTCCAGCCACGGTCTCCATGGAAACAGAATCATAGGCAGATCTGTACATATTTTGTGAGTAGAGAAGAGGACTCTCAATAAAACGTTGTGGCGTGTCCCTTCTCCACAACAGTCCCTTTGAACAGGAACCTTCTACCATTGTTGAGGGCTTAGAGACGAGCCCTTTTTTTCCTTTCCCAGAATCCTCTGCTGCACCATATAGTTGCCAAGAGTTAACTGTCAGGGATAGCTGCCAGCCCTGAACGTCAAGGTTTCATTGCTTATGTACTTGGGGAAGAAGAGTTTTATAGGCTTGTGGTGTGCCCTCACTGGATCCTAGTGCTCTCCTCTAGGATACTACTGGGGATGGTGGACAATGGGCAGGATGAGGCCCACCAAGCCATTTGAAGTGGCCTGCTCCGGTCTTCAGAGATCAGTCTGTGAAAAACAGAGATTGCCCTCTTTACTGCAATGTGTAAGGCTTCTCAGTTGCACAGAGAGCCTTCAGACACAGAGACTATTAAAGCTGTTTGATCAGCCAGCAGGTTCAATATTATATACATACATGACTTAACAGCGAAGGCAGTTGACTTTTTTTCCATTCTGTCACTGCAAAGCTTCATGAAACGAGGTTTTGTCCTATCCGCGTGAAATTTGGCATAAAGAATATGCCTTGGGTGGGTTGAGGGCAGCATAATATGGTGAAATTTCAGAAAATCCTGGAGAAGAATGGCTGAATTAGAGCAGTTCACACGTTTTGTGTTCAGGTTCAGGCAACCCATGTTACTTGCCATTATTATTATTATTATTATTATTATTCACAGTCAAAGCATACCTTACATTTACCCATTTGGGGCTGTTTCCATTATGTCGAAAACTTGTGCCTGTTTCAAGAATCTCCTTTCTTCTGGTCAAAATCTGCTGTGTATAAATCAATTCCCATTCTAATCAGTCATTTAACTAAGAGTGAGTTGTTCAAAACATTGCTCGTTGCCAAACACTGGCTCTTCCCAGAGGGAGCTTGCTTCTCAGAAGAAAAATGGCCATCGCTGAGGAGGAGGCTGCTGTGGAAGACGGTGGGTGGGAGGAATGGAGCCGCTGTGCTTGTTTTGGTGTGTGCAAAATGCTTCAGCATGAGTCTGGGTGCGTTTGTGAGTGAATTTCTGCTGCATATGTGTGTGAGAGGAGAGTGTGTGTTAGACAAAGGGAAGCTGCCATGACTGAATGGGATTTGCAGTCTCTGGCTCCCCCCCCCCCCGCCCCCCGGTGATTCCCGCCGCAACTTCTTTTGAGATCTCTGCCCTGTTTGCAATCTGTGATCTCAGCAGTGGATTTGGGCCCCATACATTTAAAGCACGTGGCTTTCCCTCAAAGAACCCTGGAAACCGTAGTTTGCCCTCACAGAGCTACAGTTCCCAGCACCCTCAACAAAACACAGTTTCCATGATTCCTGGGGGGGGGGGTATGTGTTCTAAAGACTTTTAGAAGACATCTGAAGGAAGCCCTGTTTAGAGAAGGTTTTTATGTTTGATGGATTACTGTATTTTAATATTCTGTTGGAAGCCACCCAGAGTGGCTGTGGAAACCCAGCCAGATGGGCGGGGTATAAATAATAAATAATTATTATTATTACTATTATTATTATTACTATTATTATTATTAAGGCACTTTATATGGTTATTGCAAGCTATTCTGTCTTAGCTTTAGGCACTTAGAGTGATAACAGCAATAGACTGCATGCGAGGCCTGGTATTGTTCAGGACCCATTGAGCCAGTTCATTATCTTCATCATAGTTCGTTCCATGGTTGAAGAACCATATCAGGACTAAAATACAGTCCATTACGGCAAAAGCGGGAATAATGTTGAGATAATTATAAAAATAGCCTCCTTTAGACGGCTGATGTAAATATTACTAAGATAATAATTGCAAAGTTGTTTTGACATCAAGGGCAGTATAATTCATATGTATTATGGGGTTTGTCCCCCTCCCTGCTCCCACTCCCACCACCAGAGGGGGCTTAATGGAATTCAGTGAAGATTCTTTTCAATAAACGAAATAAATTCTAGAGGGGGTTTTTTTAACCCTTCAGTTTAAGCAGAGGCGGATGGGGGGGGTGTTGCAACCAAGCTGAGGGTTAGCCATCCCTGCTGTAAAGGATGCTTGCAGGGCAAAAGATGTTTTGTCACTTCTTGCTCATCAGCGGGACGCTTGTTCCCATCAGGTGGGCAGAAAGTATCCTTTGCTGGATCCGTAGAGGAAGTCCCCAATGAATCTGAGCAGCCAGAAGGTGCTGAAGGTGAAGCCCAGGACCAGCAGAACCAGGAGACAGAGGTGGGACCGGAGCAGGGAGACCCGCCACTAACAGGTAATGTACCTGAACAAAGGAGCTCTGTCTCTGCTGGTTGCTAATCAGCACAGTGCCTAGCTTAGTCCTTGGCTTTTAACATGTTGTTGCATTCCTAGTGTTGCAAAAGGTGTTTTAAAAAAATTGTAGGTTTTGCCTGTTTGCCTCACAAGAACCCTGAGTAAGGGGCTGATCCATGGGCAGAAAAAAATATTTATTTGGTTTTTCATATTAAAGTTTTACAATCACATATCCAGCATCCAAAAAAGATTCCAAAGAATCTCCTGGACTTCCCTCCTCCCCTCTGTGAGTCCTATTGTAAATCATTTCCTCCTGCATCTTTTATAATAATAGAAATCTTTTACATCTCCATTATGTCCAAAATTCACCATTGAACTACAAGTGTTATTCCAATCCTACTAATGATTTTAACTGTTTACAATGGTTTTTAAGATAAATTATAAATTTCTTCCATCCCTTACTAAAATTTTGGTCTTCCTGATTTCTGATTCTTCTGGTCATTTTTGCCATTTCGGCATAATCCATCAACTTAATCTGCCATTCTTCTCTGGTCGGGACTTTATCTTCTTTCCATCTCTGGGCCTCCTCTGAACTATTTTAAGTTCACTTTACAATGCAAAGGATAAGTATAATGCTGGTTTAATACTGTGTGACAACCATCTCTCAAACTGGGACCTCTTCAAGAATCTGCTGTGGTACATGAGATTATGTTCTGTGACGTTAGACATGAAAGATAATGACTGACTCAAGCCCCCCTCCCCCCATGAGTTTCACATCAGAGTAGTGATTTGAACCCTGATTGCCCTGGTCCAAGCCCAGTGCTCTATATTGTATATTCCACACTGCCTCTGGTTTAAGATCATGGCTGGGAAGTGAATGATCTATTTATGACTAAGAGTATTTATCTCTCGCATTTGGGCCCTACAGAGCCCCCCACCAACCCACCACCAGCAGAAATGGCTTCCTCGCCCTCAGTTTCCCTATATAGCTAAAAAGTTGCCTTAGCTGGCTGGTCTAGAACTACCTGATTTTCAAGGGTCTTGGTCTGCATTCGAAATTAGCCAGGCGCCACTCGCGTTTTGCAACTGGCAACCAGCCCTTTGCAGCTGGATGGAGATGTCCGGGTACCACCTTTGGTGCCTAGCATCTCCCCTTGCCTGGCTGCAGTCAGCTGGTCTACCAGGCACCTGGTGAAATACCTGATTCGTCCAGCAGTGCGGTCAGATGGACAGGGTGCAAGAAACAAATTGGTGGTGGTGGTGGTGGTGATGTGGTCTGGGTGATGTCCCATGTCCAGAACAGAAATTAATCCAGTGAATATGATCATTATTCACTGTTGTTGTTTTCAGCCTACAAACAATATAGAATGATTGTGTAATAAGTCATGTTTCCCCTATCCGCTTTGCACTGACTTTCCTTTGCATTGAAATGATTGGTGCAGAATAACATAATGATAATGCAATTATGAAAAGTTCAACCACAGTGAGACGAACAATGTAGGCTTCGTCAGAAGCCGAATGCAGAACAGAAGGAGTCCTGCATGTGACTGATAAAAGGTGGAACGGAAGTTGATGCCTTCTTAATTCCCTAACTGTGACAACCATCTCATCCCCTCCTTGAGAGCCAGTGTGGTGTAGTGGTTAAGAGCAGTGGACTCATAATCTGGTGAACCGGGTTCGATTCCCCGCTTGTCCACATGCAGCTGCTGGGTGACTTTGGGCTAGTCACACTTCTCTGAAGTCTCTCAGCCCCACTCAGCTCACAGAGTGTTTGTTGTAGGGAAGGAAGGGAAAGGAGATTGTTAGCCACTTTGAGACTCCTTAGGGTAGTGATAAAGCAGGATATCAAATCCAAACTCTTCTTCTTGCTTTGGATTTTACAAGGGAAGATTACTTCTTTTCAAGTTAGTTTAGAACCAGTTTTGACGGTCACAGCCATTCAGCAGGAAACCCTGGGAATAGGAGCCATAGGAAAGAGCAACAGGCTTCTTACATGGAAATGTCAGCACCTTCACAAATGATGGCTGCCAGAGGGAAAACCATCTTTAAAGTGATTTGAAACTGGTGTAAAGTTTTGTCATGTAGATGCCCTACATGTTGAGAACTCCCCCCCCAAATGCTTATGTTTTTCCTCTCCTTCTGTAGATCATGTTATGGAACTAAGTCGCTCCAGCTGGGAAGAGAGACCTCCCTGCGCTCTTAGCGCCGAAAACCGTTCCTCCCCACCCCCTATCCACACCACCACCTAGCGCAAGCAGTGAAGGGGTAGAGTCGGGAGCTGTCCCACTGATGGAAAACTCTCCTTTTTCACCAAGATGGATTGGGTTATTTCCTTTTAACAACTATCTTCTCTTTTCTGTTCCAGATTTGTCTTTCTTTTCACAGTGTTTGGTTTGTGTTCCGTGAATTATTTAGCACAAGGGAAAAGGAAGTGGGGGGAGGGGGAGCCACAGTCACTGGTATCCAAACTTCCACATTCAGAAGGAATATATCATCTTTCTGACGGCCAGAGGCTGGGCACAAGTGACAAGAGGGTGGATATCCTTACTGTGCCTTTGCTTGTGAGGTTCCGGGGTTCGGGGGTGTATGCATAAGAGCTGTCGTTGTCCACAGGGCTGCTTGTTTGGTGTAATCCAGCATGGCGGTTCTTAACATTTTTTCACCCATCCAGATCTGAAAATTTAAAACTAGTATCTGAGACCAGTGAAAATAACCAGGTAGCTGGCCTGAAGACCATCGTTAGATTCTCAGAAATCCAAGTTTGAAAATGTACAACTCACAGCTGAATTCGAACTGATAAGCTGGAGGGGATATCTACAATTAATTCACTTCTGAATCCCTGCCACCACCACCTCTCTCTCTCTCACACCTGCCTCCCCAATGCCCCATTCATCTCTCTGGAAGCTGCAAATTAAAATCTAATCATTTTGTATAGTTGAAACTGCTCTCCCTCCCTCCCTATGCTCTTAGACCCTTACTCCGCCACCTGTGTATTGGGCAATGCCTTTCCATGTGCCTCTCTGCTCTATTAAAGCTTTGTAAATAAACGAGATGTTTGAAGAGTGTTTTATGGAGGGTGAAATATACTCAGAGTCGCAAAGTGATTTCATGCTCTTTATTCAGCTCATAGTGGTGAGGAGGAATGAATGAATGTCCCCTCAAAGTATCTGCTTTATATACATTATTTACACAATGGGCTGCACATGATTGGCTAATTCTGGAATTCTACTGTAAGCCAATCAGGTTGTGGATTCACTTCTATCTGGAGCATGATTGGGTGGTTCCTGCCAACCAATCATACTGCTGCATTGTTCTAGGACCAATCAGACTGCTGCAGTTTGGATTCTATTCAACTCAGTACATAACACCCCTCCCCTCTAAGTTCCAGTCCTGCCCAGGAAGTCGTATTCATAGTCCTCGAGGTACGCCGGCGGCCTACGTGTGCGTTGCGGCCTGGGGTGTTCCCTGGTCCGGGGTTCAGGTTCTGGCTCATGTTCCAAGGATGCTGGCTGTGATGGGGCTGTTTGGTCTGGCGCAACCGGCTCGCTCAGTCGTGGTTCTGGTTCCGGTGTCCTTTCGGCCTTGCGGGTCCTCTCTGTATTTACTGATTCTGCCTCTCCTGCTGGCCCCTCCTGCTCTATGGGCCTCACTGCCCCACTGTTCCCTTGGAACTCCTCTGACCTGTCCTCCTCCTGGTTTTCTCCTGGGAATCGTCGCCGTATCTGGTCACAGTGGCGGCGCCAGCATTGCCCCCCATCCGTTAGCACCTCGTACAACACGGGGCCAGTGACCCTGGTGACTGTGGCGGGTACCCATGCTGGGCCTGCCCCAAAATTCTTTGCATACACTGGGTCCTGGGCTTCGAAGGTCTGGGGGTTCCTGCCTTCCCCCACCACTACCTCATCCTGAGCTCTATCGGGGTGAAGGCGGTCCAATCTGATTGCAAGGCGCCGACCCATTAGTAGTTCTGCGGGGCTCCGGCCAGTCGTTGAGCTGGGGGTGCTGTGCTGTGATAGAAGGAATGTGGCAAGGCGGTACTCCCAATCCCCTTGCGTCATGCGGCGAAGGGTGTCCTTGGTGGTCCGCATCATGCGTTCTGCTTGGCCATTGGTGGCAGGGTGGAATGGCGCCAAACGGACGTGACGGATGGCGTTCTGCGCTGTGAAGGTTTGGAATTCTCCTGACATAAATGCAGTCCCGTTGTCTGAGACGAGAGTGTCAGGGAGCCCGTGGGTTGCAAACAGCCTGTGTAGTACCCGGATGGCTGTGGACGGTACCAGTGCGACTTCCAGCCATTTGATGTAGGAGTCCACCACTATGAAGAATGTTTTCCCCTGAAAGGGGCCAGCGAAGTCCACATGCAGGCATGACCATGGTGCTCGGGTAGACTCCCAGGACTGGACTAGGGCCCTTGGGGGATCTGGGCGGGATTCTTGGCAGGCCTGGCAGTGTTTGACCCAGGCCTCTATCTCTCCGTCGATCCCCGGCCACCACACATAACTCCTGGCAAGGGCCTTCATTCTTACTACCCCTGGGTGTGTCTCGTGTAGGGCTGTGAGGACCCTTTTGCGGAGGGGCTGGGGAACAACGACCCTGCTTCCCCATAACAGGCACCCCTTGTGGGCCGACAGTTCATGTTTGCGGGTTGTGTAGCCGGCGAATTCTGGCCCGGGCTGCTGCTGGGCCATCCCCACCACACCAACTCCAGGACCCGGGAGATGACCCTATCTTTCTTGGAATGGTGTGCAACTTCTTGTGCCTGAATGGGGCGGTCGGGAAGCAGCTCCAAGCTCATAACCTCTTGTGCAGGTGCTGGGTCAGGCCCTGTTTCCGGTAGTGGTAGCCTGCTGAGGGCGTCCGCATGGCCCATCGCCTTCCCAGGGCGGTGAATCAGTGCGTACTGGTAGCTGGCAAGGAAAATTGACCACCTGAGGACGCGAGGAGACAGCACTTGGGGGGTCTGCTTTTCGGGGGCAAACAAGCCAAGCAACGGCTTGTGGTCAGTCACCACGGTGAAGGGCCACCCGTACAAGAAATCATGGAATTTTTTTACTCCCTTCACGATTGCCAGACCCTCCTTGTCGATTTGCGAGTAGTTCCGCTCGGTTGCGTTGAGTGTCTGGGAAAAGTATGCCACCGGTACCTCTCTTCCATCCGGGAGTTGGTGTCCCAGGACAGCGCCAATGCCATAGGGCGAGGCGTCACATGCTAGCACCACCGGCAGCCTCTCGTCGAAGTGTGCCAAGACCAAGTTTGAGACAAGCAAGTCCTTGACTGCCTGGAATGCGGCCTCCTGGCACTGGCCCCACACCCAAGGGGCCCGCTTGTCCAGGAGTCTGTGTAGGGGCTCCGCTACCGCCGCCTTGTGGGGAAGGAATGGTAAAAGTTCAATAGTCCCAAGAAGGCCTGAAGTTCAGTCTTGCTCTTGGGCGCTGGGGCATCACAGATGGCCTGTACCTTGTCCCCAGTCAGGTGGACCCCTTCTGCATCCACCATAAATCCCAGAAAGTCCACCTGAGGCACTCCTAGTAGACATTTTTCCCGCTTCACCTTGAGACCCGCCGTCTGGAAACGGTGCAGAATGGTGCGGAGGCGGTCCTCAAACTCCTCTGGTGTGGGCCCGGCAATCAACACATCATCGAAGAAGGGAGTGACGCCAGGAATCCCTTTAAGGAGAGAGTCCATTAGATTCTGGAATATGCCTGGTGCCACACTGACACCGAATTGCAGCCGCTTTACCCTGAACGCTCCTCTGTGCGTCACAATCGTCTGTGCCTCTGCTGTGGCCTCATCTACTGGCAGTTGTTGATATGCTTGGGCCAAGTCCAGCTTGCCAAAAAATTTCGACCCAGCCAGGGTGGCAAGGACATGGCTGACCACTGGCACTGGGTATGCATGGGCCGTGAGAGCCTTGTTTATGGTACATTTGTAGTCTGCGTAGATGCGGACTGAACCATTAGGCTTGACGGGTGCGACAATTGGGGTTTCCCAGGGGGCATTAGGCACAGGCTCCAGCACTCCTTGCTCCACGAGCCGGTCCAATTCCTCGTCTATACAGGGTTTCAGGGCAAACGGGACCCGGCGGGCCTTGAGCCTGACCGGTCGTACTGTGGGGTCAAGCTGTAGAGCATTGGGGGGGCCGTATACTGTCCCAATTTCCCATCGAAAACCCCCGGAAATTCCTTGCATATGGCGTCCACGTCCACTTGTAAGCTAGTGTGGTTCACCCTGGTGACGGCTAGCCCCAGTGGTCCAAACCATGCCAATCCCAGTAAGCTAATGTAGGGGCCCTTGACCACAAGCAAGTCCAGTTGCCGCGTCCGCCCTCGGTATTGCACCCTGAAGGTCCCCACCCCCATTGTGGGGACCTTACGTTTCTGGAAGTCCCGGAGGGTGAATGGGGCCGGCCTGAGTTTGGGACCCCCAGTAGGACACAGTTTCCTTAAGGTCCTTGCCGAGATTATGGATAGAGTTGAACCCGTGTCAAGCTCCATGCGGCATGGGGCCCCCTCTATCTGTACCTCTACATAAATTTTCTCTACGTTGGGGTGGGGCAACTGGTATACCTGGAAGTCCGTGAGCTCCGTCGAGTTGCCTTGGTGCGTTGGGCCCCGGGACCTGGTCATCTGATGCCTGGCGTCGGGTGGGCCGACACACCTGGGCGATGTGTCCCGATTTTCTGCACTGCCTGCACTCTGCGTTGCGGAAACGGCAGGTCCTCCTCTCGTGACTTTCCCCACAGCTTGGCGCAGTTCCCTCCTTCTCGTCGAGGCAGCTGTGGTATGTGGGCTGCTTGAGTGCGCTGCTGTACTCGGTGCACCTCCTCCCTGTCGGATCCTGAATCGTCGGTGAGGTCTTCGTGGTGGACCCTCGGTTGGGACGGCAGGCTCGGCCGTGCCTCTTGTGTCAACCTCTCGGCAGCTTCTGTTGCCAGGGCCTCCTCCAGAGCGACCTGGAACGTTAGGTCCTTCTTAGCGTAGAGGCGTCGTTGCAGCTTCTCATCCTTCAGGCCACCGACGAGGCGGTCACGAAGCATGTTCTCCAGCTCTGAGAAGTTGCAGAACCGGGTGGCTTGGCGGAGAGAGGTCACAAACCCAGTTATGGTTTCCCCAGGGGCTTGCCGCTTTGCGTAGAAGGCATTTCGACGAGCCACCACTGAGGGCTGCGGCGAAAAGTGCCCCTTCAGCTGTTCCATTATTGTTTTGTATGGAACAGTAGCGACGTCTTCAGGCGCAAGGAGAGCCCGGGCGATTTCAAACGTCTCCTCTCTGCAGACGCTGAAGAATATCGCCCTCTTCTTGGCGTCTTCTTCGTCGGTGACCCCTTTGGCTTCTAGGAGGAAGGTGAAACGGGAGGCGTACGCTTCCCAGTCTCCAGATGCTGGGTTGAATGACGAGAAGCTGCTGTTGGCTGCCATTCTGAGTTCCTTGTGTCCCGGAGCTGAAGCCTGGATACACCGTGCGAGGCAGCGGTGCGGCAGGTGGCGGTGCTGCGGTGCTGTGTGTGGCAGTCAGCTCAGCGGGATCCCATCCTCGTCGTCAGTGAAATATACCCAGAGTCGCAAAGTGATTTCATGCTCTTTATTCAGCTCATAGTGGTGAGGAGGAATGAATGAATGTCCCCTCAAAGTATCTGCTTTATATACATTATTTACACAATGGGTTGCACATGATTGGCTAATTCCGAAATTCTACTGTAAGCCAATCAGGTTGTGGATTCACTTCTATCTGGAGCATGATTGGGTGGTTCCTGCCAACCAATCATACTGCTGCATTGTTCTAGGACCAATCAGACTGCTGCATTCTGAATCCTATTGTTCTAGGACCAATCAGACTGCTGCAGTTTGGATCCTATTCAACTCAGTACATAACAGAGGGGTGGGGGGGAATGGTCACCAGCCCTGAGCAAGCCAGCTCTTTCCTTCACTGCATTAGCCAAGCATGACAGAAGGAAAGGGTTTCATAACGGCAGGAAGCATTTTATCTTTTGCAAATCAACCCTAAGTGCATGAGTCATGATTCATGGACAGGAGGACAGGGTTCGGGAG